GTTCATGCCTTTTCATTATCGACACTAGAAAAAACGTTGCTCCCTGCAGTGCATTGGTTTAGGTGTTCATGCAAAATTGCATTTCAACAGGCAACAAGCTGTGTAAAGTATCTTAGCACCCACAGATTTATCTAAATTTATTGCGCATTTTTACGACATAAAGTAACAGAAATAACTAAAATCTAAGGTCCTCAAATGAACGAACTTTTCTGTAATAATTTCAAAAAGCCCTTTAAGTGGGAGGGGATTAGCACAGACTTAAAAAGATTCAAGAAAATATTCTGGTAAGTTGGACAGAACCACATTGGATTGAGATATCTGAAAAAGTTGATGGCGAGTGAATCGGGCGGGCGAATCTGGAATGGGCAGATTAGACCGAACAAGATGCTGACAATTCAATCCATGAGGTGTTCCAGCAAACAGGAGCGAGGACGTCTTTCGTTTTCCTGTGTTTTTTTTTGCTATATCGTCATCCGACGGTTCAAGAACTTCTCTCATCAAACGCTGCTGAATGAAAGTACTTGATTATGAGTTGTCAGCACAATATGCACCAATCTTAGCTCACTCTTGGCCGATTGGTCGCGGAAGGTAGCACTGTTTGCCTTTCTGGATCGGTTTTGAACCGTGTGGGACAAGCTCACCTTGTTTTCTATGGTTGTCGTAGCAAACCTAACACACATTCCGATGATAGAATGCTTCCATGAAATTGAAGCCCACTAGTCTCTCCACTAGTCACGGCTATCACGCCGGTCATTGCGAGCAAAGGCAGCAATTTGAAGCGTTCTTCCCTGGTTATTCTTTCAGTGCAATGTGTGCATAAACTCACATATCGTTGCGCTGGTCCATGCCAGCGCAAAAAAATGCGAAGTCTTTCCAAGTCTACAACGAATTTCATGTTCCCTCGCTGGTGCCGAGACGAAATTAGTATGCTGGCCTTTCGTACCTAATCAGAAAATCGGTTAAGCTTTTATCAGAAAACGTCGCACGCTCCGAACCTAAAACTGTTCACCATGTCATGAATGTCGCGGCAGGTTATTGTCGTCATAAGATCAGCCTTCAAAGCCGAAATGTTTTCAGTAAAAGGAAATATCTGAAGTCTGAGAGAGCCTGAACGGAAATCGCGCTCTGCAAGCGGCGTGGCCTTATTTTACAATGTGATGGGTATATGCGCGCTGGCATCACCACGTAGGATGTCCCGAAGGTACAGAGCCTCGGGGTACCTGATGCTGCTATTGGAGTCATGTTTGGCCCGACGATTTGAGGCATTAGGCTGCATATGTCAATTGACGGAAATGCCGCACAACATGCGAGGCTACCTGTATTGAGATAGGATTCCTACGGCAACTAATTACGCCCTTTTCAGCTGCAACGTGCTTGATAAATACATTGTTGCTTTAAGACTATCACCTATGATGTTGCTTTTACCCCCGATACCCTGACCGTAAACATTTATGACCGCAATATTCATGTGGAGTGTTTCAGCGCCATTCGGCTGTTGGTGCTGTTTGAAGTGACTTCTTCTTACTATGTCACATTACGTCATGCTACGGTTCTTACGTCACACGCGTCACATCACATTCACGTCATCGATTCCGCTGAGTGTTGAACGATGAACTAAACACGATTGGTCGCTTTATTCACCGACAAATATCATAAAATACAGATAACGTGCACAATATTCTTGAACCGTATCTCAACACTGAAAACAATAAAAAAACATTTGCCTCGAAAAGCCTCGACGTTCACACCAAGTAAATGTGATGTCAACATCTACCAGCCAGGCATGCAGCTTGATAGGACAATCTGGAACGTTAGCCGAGCTGTTCGTGTCGGTACTGGCCAGGGACGAGGCTGTCCATTGAAACGTTGTCGTCTTTCATTAATGGATCTACGGTTAAATCGTCGATCATTGGCCATGAACGGATCTCTGCGTGTTCATTAACTCACGCAGCCATTTTTTTCCGATCAAATCGAACAGGCATTGCAGCATTGTAAGAGCGGTAGTGAGCGATTCTCACTGCCTTGTGCAATGCCTAAGCAGTGCGGTGGAAAGCTAGTTTTGACTTGCTGCAAATGTGCGCTTTTGGCAATATGACACATTGCCAAAAGTCCGCCTCGCTAAGCGGGCATGACTCAACAATAACCGAGCTGGGTTCACATAGTATCACAGGCATGGCATACCACGAAACAAAATTGGCAATTGTACACACCGAGCACAGTTAACTTTACACTTGCGACACAAAGAAAAACATTAGCTAAGCGGTTTGAGCGGCACGCACAATGTAATAAAGTACCTCCTGTTTTCCGTTTTACAAAAAACTTGCCGTCTAATTTCAGCGACGGTCGGCAGAGCGAATAAGAATTTGCCAGCTGGGTTGAGCCTCATGTTTGCTGTGGAGCAAAGTATTAACAACGAATGAACCGGAGACAATTCCGAGCGTGATCTCGCTACCAGACAACTCTTACAAAGAAACACTCCTGATGTCAAATTTGTTAAACATGTTCGAACATGTCACGCCATCAACATCAATATCTTTAAGTGCATGAACAACGACCACGCCAACTGATAAGCCGCACTGTAACAGGACTACATGGTAACTATATGGCACAGCACTTAGCATCATGTCCCAAGCAGTTTTGCCAAGCCCATGATTCAAACGACTTCGCAGGTACGATCGCTTCAGGTGTCAAGTTGTGTCTGGGATTGAGGTCCTCACTGTACACTGCAACAAGCTCCAGTCATTTCATATGGTAAAGCTCCAGTAAAATGGACAATCTCCATCATCCTAATTTCGTGATTTTTTTCGCACAAAAATTAAATGTTCGCGCGACACCTTGCCTCCTCTCATATTTTTCACGAAACCTTGGCGGCCAGAGATAGCTGGTGTCGTTTGGAGAACAACACCGGTGTGGAGTTACCGTTAGACGCAGTGATTTGTTCTTGCACGCCAACACAAAGTTGAAAAAGAAGTGCACCATGGATAACAATTAATTTTGTGTTGGAATGTGACGCGAAGTAGCCATCAAATATTCCGCTTTGGTCTTCTCGTTCCCAAACTCCACGCTCGTGTGAACTCAGAGCTACGCGTATTGAACCTTATAATGACGTGCCAGAGAATGGAGATCCTGAAACCAGCTAATGCATGCATTCATCACACTCTGTGCGAAGCACTCAGCGCGGAACTACGCAAACGGTGACAATTGCTCACTTCCCGCACCCTGTGTCTACTTTCCCTCACCAGGTGGCACTGCGGTCGGGAAACACTTGCAGGACCTCGGGCGCAACGCCCAGTGTTTGATGGCCCGAGTCCGGACTTGTACCGGCGCGCGCCAAGGTCCGTCCGCGTGACCACCGCGGGCACCTCAAGTGGAGCGACCAGGCTCAGGAGAGCGCCACCTCAGGCGCGGGTTCCGCCATTGCTGTCATCTAGTGGCAGTCCGACACTAGAACTGCGTCGACAGGTGGCTGCCGGTCACGGTTACGACCGACTGCCGATGCGGTGACGTGTCGTGGCCGCGCTGGACTCGTCTCAGCGGCAGTGTGGAGCACTGGAACGAGCCGAGGGTGGACTGGTCGGCATTCCTCGTAGTAATCGCAACACATCAGCTACCCGACCGACAATACAGGGAACATGTAGACCACTTCCTGATAGCTTATCCCGCTATAGCGACCTCACTCCACGTAGAGTAAGTCCTCTCAATGTCTGGTTACGATCCAAACGCCGAACAGCACAAAGACCTACCGCCGTCCCCTTGGAGACTAGACCGAGCTCTCCCTCCGTTCGGCGGCCAGCGGCAACAGCGCGCACCCCTCAGCAGCTGGAGACGGGGCGAGCCTCTGCCTGTTGGCGCGCGGCGGGCCGCCCCGGTCGGCGATGGCGACAGCCACGTGGGACGCACCCTTCAACAGGAGGGCCGGCGACACCGTGTAGCGAGGAACATGCCGCCGTGCAGGCCACAGCAGACCATGCCAGCCGGCCATGGGAGCGCGGGAAACGGGGGGGGGGGGGGGATGGATGCTGGGCTACACAATATTTTTGAAAATTTAACATTGAGCCTACGGGCATTAACGAAAAAACGACAACAATGGCTACCGACCCTCCAGCTTTGGAGAGCTTCTGGCGCCCTCGACCGGGCATTACAGTACAAGAAGATTGCACATGAACTGGGTTGAAAGGCGTACAGCTAAGGAATACTATAAGGGTGTGGTTCTGTGTGAAAATATAGCCGGTTCGGGCTACGGCATGCCACTTCCAGTGGGTTCTAGTCGGATATTGGGCCCTGAGCTGCCTGCTTTCGTTGGAAGGAAACATCGGAACACATTTGCAATAAGCAGTCAGGCGAGCAGACACCTGGCCATTCAAAGCACGGCAGAGTTCTTTAGGTTAGGATGCATCATGCTAATGCTTGGGTGTTGAATTAGATTATCATCGCACTGGAGAGGTGGAACTTATTTTACCGCCACATTCAACGTGCAAAGTACTGATGGGGCCTTTCAATGCTCCTATCCGGTTAGCCACGACTAAACCGCCCATGCCACGAGCATTGAGCCATTAAGAAAAGAAACTTCCGGTTTATCGCAGTAGACTGAAACGGATTACGACATGTGCCCGCCGTTCATCAGAGCGATGAGCCGTAACGAATGTACGTCTCATCGCACATCTACCGACGCCAGTTCTCGCGTTCTCAGACATAGGTGGGTGGGGTTCTCGGAATGTGTTCACGAGCAGGGAAGCGATATACGGGCGGTGACGTCACCAGTCCTCTGTCGGAGGAGCAGAACGGACGGGTTGTTGTATGAATGCTACGAGCCTGATACGTACGAAAAGGCTTATGCGTAAAACAGTTTCTGGTGTCCATGAGCCGGTCATCTCACGCAGATCTGCTTTAACGATGTTAAAGTTATAACTGTCACATAGTTATTCGCAAGGAACTTAATCTATTCCGGAATTTCTCGATTAGGTGGGGAAGTGACAAACGATTACGATGCAGGCGCCATATATTTCAATGTAACTATATCAAACGTAGCTTCTCTTTTCGGGAAGGTTACGTGTACGCCCAAACTAATCCACTATCATAAGGAACAGGCCTCGTTCTATGGCCAAACTGGCGGCCCGTCTACTACGCTTAGGCTCATGCTACATTCACTGCTTTCCTCATCATACGCCTAAGCTGCCGCAAGCTCACATTGTGCGGGCCGGCCGGCGCGGCGGCACTGACCGGACCGCGCAGGTGCGGGGGGCTAGGTCGGCGGCGGCCCCGCCTGGGCAGGGTCTCCTGCAGGCCAGACGGGGTCGGCGGCGGCGATGGCGGGCCCCCGAACCGGGCCGGCGGGGGCGGGAAGCGGCCGTTGCGAAGACGCTCGATCATGTGCTTCTCCTCGGCGTCCAGGAACTCTGGCGGAGTAACAAGGCTACAGGTGCGGGTGTTGTGGAGATGCTCGATCATGTGCTTCTCCTCGGTGTCCAGGAACTCTGGCGGGGTAGCAAGGCTATAGGTGCGGGTGTTGTAAAGACGCTCGATCATGTGCTTCTCCTCGGCGTCCAGAGGGCAAAATGGGAGACGAATATACAAGTGCACGAAATGACAGGTGACCATGTTGAAAAGACAAATGTTGAGGACACTGCAGTAAAAGAACGATGCATCAGAAATCGGTCACACAGAACATCTTCATCTTAAGTGACAGCGCCGCTGAGGCCTGAAAACTGCGCTGGAGACTATAGTCTGAAATATACCTGTTTTCTGAGGTATGAGATCCGGATCTTGCTTTTCCTCGAAGTTCCCAGACTCGTCCAAGTTTCTGACCAGCTGGACATGACATATGCCTTGTTGGCTTTCCTGTGAATGATATTGCACACTTACCAACTCGAACTGGACGTGTCTTAAAATGCGAGTAGTCCAGCAATCAAATCTTTTCGCCATATTCATAACACGAGACAACACACGTAGACGGGTTCTTAGCTCTTCAGCAACTTGGCTTCCCCAGTTTAGTTTATCTCTTGGAACTGTACAACTCGCTCAGCGTAACAAGTTGACACGTGTTAGACATTCATACGGCATCCGCGGCAAGAACAATTATGCAAAGTTGTTCATCGCGTACGAAATTATTCCTTCCTTGTGAGAATAATTTACAGAACCGCGTCAAATAATACACGTTCTCAAGAAATGCGAATGGAATTCAGCGACACAACCCTCTATCCCCATCATCGCAGCTTTTGATAAAATGCGCCCTGCAGTGTATGTCTCTTTGCCGGCTTTGCTTGCTTTTAAGGCGCGTCGTACGTAGGTGCGCGATCCAAGGAAACGATAAATAATGAAGAGATGTTTAGAAAAATCATCAGAGCAGCTTGTATGACTTTGGATAACGTGGCGATACTGGATGTAAGCCTTATCGTGACTTAGATTATCACAAATCAAGCCGATCGAGCCGGCCGCATTTGGAATATCATTAAAACCATTTCGCAGGCCTGGACTGTCTGACACACCCACAGTGTTAGCGAGCATATTTAGCAATAGCATTGGATCAAAAGTGCCTGGCAAACGACCTGACGCTGGCAGAACGTGCCCGTTTCGTTGATGCAAATGACAAATCGTGTCGATAAAGCGTGTACCTTGGATCCACATGGGCAGAGGGTTCCTCCACACATCCTACAGAAGGTGACATTTGTATCCTTGCAACGCTCAACTGGGCACAGAACATAATACAAAGGTGACCTGTGATAAAATGGTATACTCAGAGTCACTCAAGAACATGCATCTAGGACTTGAAGAAAAAGAACATGCATCTTGAACTAAGAAGGCCATTTTAAAGATCGTTCGGTGCAATTAACAGCCCTACCATTACCACAATTAAACTCCTCTAGCTTCTGAGCTACATGTCCGCAAAGATGTGCAGGCTACTTCGGGGAGGCTATTTGAAGACCACACAGGCATCCATGACAATATACTAACGTCATTCAAATCCTGTCATTCTATTAGCCAAGAAAGAAATCAAGACCAAGAAAACTATCATCGTCGAGTCGCTCACATCTACTCTGGTCAGGAGGTCGTCAAATGGCTCTCAATCAATGTTGTGCAGGGTACGGTGCCGCAATCGAACAATGACGTGTTGATGAGCACAGTTACTACACAGATAAATTTTGTTGTCTTGGGCAGTCTTTTGCACTTAAAAGGATGTCGATAGTTATTGCTTCAATATCTTCAAATGGGAGGCATTCCCTTAAACCCTCATCTTGATAGCGGATCGATGTAATACCTGTAAGGTGTTTTGAAAATACGTCTCCGGTGAGACGGGCAATCGTGCCTGAATTTTCAGTCCCTTATAAGCCATCCAATGCCCGTGTTTTTGCGCCAGAAACGTGCCCCTAGCTGTTCTGCTTTCGGAGCAGCGGCGGTATTTGAGCAACACTGCACAGCGATGTTCGGCCAGTGCAGGTGGCGGGCGGCAACAGACGATTCCACGGGCCGCCCGCGGCGGGCTGACTCTGTTGCATCAACAGGGTCATTCAGTCATATCATTAAGGTATGTTCAAAACACGCAAAACTATACAACATCGTACTTAAAATTTACTACCAAGACCTCTATTCAGGTTGTGTGTGCTACAAGGCATTGTCTTGAACATATGAGCATGCAAACCTGAAAAGTGATACTTTGGAGATAAGTTGAAATTTAACCCGGCATAATGAGATCAATTATTGACCCAGCAACATAGAACTTATTCCAAATAGCGGGATCCTGTTGAAAGCAGCCTGTGCTGTTTTCCACTAAGCTCTATCTTTCTTAGGGTGGAAGCGGCAGACAGGGCCGCATCGACGCCCATCACTTTACGTTATGAAAAGCGGCGAATCTGGGCGAGGGTTAATGACTTGCAATAGCTAGCGAGCGATTTTCCGTACCCAGTCGTGGACATTCATACCACTACTACCGAGCAGTCTCCGCCCCTTGGTTTGTTGTCCCATGTCGCCGCCGCTGCAGCACCATGGTAACGCCACATAATGACATCAACTTCAGTCAAAAGTTGTTGGCGAACTGATACTCTGGGTCGGTCGGACTCCGCTCGGTAGCCAACTTTGTCACCGGCAAGTCCTTGCATGTGATCGCGGAACATGTGCCGTGTTCATATACACGCTGCCGGGATTTCCTGTCATTGGCAATGCAGCAGATAGACAACGCGTCCCATGCTGTTTTTCAGGCGAGTGCTGATCATTTTAGCAATTCTAGCAATGGACCAAAAGGAGCTTTGGGGCGGGTGTGCCGACCGGCCGCGGGACCAAGGAAACTAATCATCGCCTCCGCAAGGTGTCACGTGGGGCGCGCAAAAACTCGTACCAATTTCAGTTATTCACTACTGTAATACGTTGAAGAAAATCTCTTCATCAGATTTCGATGGTTGTGGGTAAAGAATTTGCAACAGTTGACGGACGATAACGCACACCACTCTATTTATACAGTATTAAGAAAGAGAGAGGGAGAGAGAGAGAAAAAGAGAGAGAGAGAGAGAGGGATACTTCAGTTGCATACTATATAATTACCTATTTATATATATATATATATATATATATATATATATATATATATATATATATATATATCCCTGCCTCTCTCTCTCTCTCTCTCTCTCTCTCTCTCTCTCTCTCTCTCTCTCTCTCTCTCTCTCTCTCTCTCTCTCTCTCTCTCTCTCTCTCTTCTCTCATCTCCCCCTCCTCTCTCCTCTCTCTCTCTCTCTCTCTCTCTCCTCTCTCTCTCTATCTCTCTCTCTCTCTCTCTCTCTCTCTCTCTCTCTATCTCTCTCTCTCTCTCTCTCTCTCTCTCTCTCTCTCTCTCTTCTCTCTCTCTCTCTCTCCTTCTCTCTCTCTCCTCTCTCTCTCTCTCTCTCTCTCTATCTCTCTCTCTCTTCTCTCTCTCTCTCTCTCTCTCTCTCTCTCTCTCTCTCTCTCTCTCTCTCTCTCTCTCTCTCTCTCTCTCTCTCTCTCTCTCTCTCTCTCTCTCTCTCTCTCTTCTCTCTCTCTCTCTCTCTCTCTCTTAATATATGTCTCTTCTAACTAGAGGTCAAGCAACGACGTAGTCTTTGCATATTTAGGACGCGGAGAGAGCTGCTTGTTTTGAGCCGTATGGTCCTCCGCAGGCGACGTCGGAACATGATCTCAGGCGCACATTGGCTTAACGAAGGAAGGGATTTACTGGTGGTTCAAGGTTCAAAGCTTGCGCAGACTAGGGGAAATGAATGTTGATTTTCGTTGTGTACCTTAGCTGAAACTAAGCAAACCGTGCAACAGCATGGCTGGCCCAAGTTCCACGCCCAGTGGTGCATAGAGGTACATGGCTGTTTCCGCAAAGCCAGCACACCGAAGAGCAGCTTGAGGAGGGAAAAGTACGGTGTGTACTAGAAATCACTGGAATTTCTTACGCGCCCAGACAAGAGAGAAATTGGATCATCAAGAGAACAAGAGAAATTGGATCATCCCAGTGTGATATGATAGGGCATTACTCATCACGCGACGATGGGGCATGCAACATCACCCAACATTACACATGTGGCCAACGATTGTAAAGCACAGGTTAAATTAGCCTTTATAAGGGATGCCACTTCATGATATAATCGACACCCCTGACCGGTCACCAGTCAGCTCCAGGAGTACACCGAGAGTACACTGGCACGTGTGACCTCGTACCTTGCCGCGGGGTCAATAGGTCACCAGCTCCAGGAGTACACCGAGAGTACACTGGCACGTGTGACCTCGTACCTTGCCGCGGGGTCGCGTGCGGTACCTCCTGGCGCCGACAATGGTAACGGCTGTGAGCACCAGGGCCGCCACCAGGCCGATCAGCACGCCCAGTATTGGCGTCATCTGCAGCATGTCCAGCAGTGTCCCTGCCGAAGGGCGGACGGCGCTGAGTGAGACCTGGCCCGGGGAGTCCAGACATGAGGTCCGTCCCGCACGGGGAGTTCGGAGACGAGGTCCGTCCCATACGGGGAGTCCAGAGACGAGATCCGTCCCGCATGAGGAGTCCAGAGATAAGGTCCGTCCCGCACGGAGAGTCCAGAGGCGACGCTTGTTTCACACAGGGAGTCTAGAGACAAAATCTGTCCCACACGGGGAGTCCAGAGACGAGGTCTGTCCCACACGGGGAGTCCAGAGACGAGGTCCGTCCCGCACGGGGAGTCCAGAGACGAGGTCTTCCCACATAGGAGGTCCAGGGACGTCTGTCCTGCAGGGGGAGTCCGGAGACGGGGTCTGTCACACACGGGGAGTCCGGAGACGGGGTCTGTCCCACATGGGGAGTCCAGAGACGAGGCCTGTCCCGCTTGTGGACGGATCCATCCCGCGGAGAGTAGACACACTGAGCCTGCTATAGGCGACGCCTGATGGTGATAAATGTATCACGCTTTCTGGTGACCGTATTTATGCATGCCACTTTAAAACGATGAATGTGTAACAATTTACGGCGAAAAACGTCCGGCGTTCCCTAATGATGGCGTAATGCGAGTGGAATGGTGCGACGAGCGGCAGTCAGTGGGCGCCTGTGTCATGCATGAAATACCCATGCAATCGCTCCGCGACCATCCGCACACGTCCCCCCCCCTCGGCCTCCTCCCCGTCTGCCGTGGCAGGACTCACTGTGACCGGTGCCACTGTCCGGCTCTCCCACCAGCGTGCGCGCCACGAGCGTGCTGGCCCTGCTGCTGCCGCGCCGGTTGAGCGCGAACACCGACAGCCGGTACTCCTGATCCGACACCAAGTCAGAGGCGCCCAGTCTGCGGCACGCGCAGCTGCCGTGAGCGGTGGTGGGGAGAGGGGGAGGGGGGCGGCCGCTGTCGGGCGAGTTCGCAGGCGGACGTGTCGGACACAGAGGCCCGGAGGAGCGGGTCGATACCGTGGACCCGTGTGGGTCAGTGGGTCTCCACGCCTGGGCGCCTGTGGCCAACCCCGATCTCATATGACGAGCCCGTGAATCATATTGCTCTGCATACTAGGCGAGGTCCATGGCAAGTGAGGACACAGTTGCGGCTAAATTTCTCCCGGGCAAGTGAAGACACATTTGCGGCTAAATCTCACCCGGGCGAGTGGTGACAGTCAATGGAAGGCACGTCTGGGCAGCAAACACCGCTTGGATACCGCCCCGAGCGGCTGTCTCGCAGGGGAAACCAAAACGGAGGACGACTCTCACGGAGAGTGCGCGGGTCCGCAGACGCCGCGACTTCGAAACTAATAGTTTGAGCTGCACTGCACACGCTTTTGAGGTGGCAAGTGATCGTATTGTGTTATGAATGTTTTTACCCTCAAAGCAACCAACCATCTTTCAGTCGGTCGCAGGAGCAAGCTGGAAGCATAACCAGAGGCACGAGGTTCGGTTTCCGCCATGCCCGTCCTTTGTACCAGGAGGAGAGGCAGACGACGCCATGTCGCCTCAGCGGCTGAGAGCGCCGTAAAGCCCCAATAAAGCAAGCCCAGAGCGATGGTCACGCTGTTTATTTCCATCACCTCAGTCACATTAGGCTTGTGCAGTTATTTCAGGAACCGGCATCTCATGCTCTCTTGGAACTGTTCTCTATTCCGAGCCCAAGGTCATCAATTAAGGCTTTTCACTAAATGTGTTTGTTCTCCGAGCGGATTTGGCCTTCAAGAAATGTGTGATTTACATTCCAAAGGTGGTGACACTATTCCAAGCTTGGGGCCGCAGCTCTCACCCATCTGCGCCAGAGTTCCACATCGTGTTAGACAGCGTGACGCGTTTGTCTCCTTTCTTGGGCGCGGCGAGTGTAAGCTATTTCCGTACGTGAAACTAAAGCCAGCTTCCAGTGGAAGCTGACCATGTACCTTTACATGCCCACGCAATTGTCCAGCGTTTGCTGTCTCCGCGGCTCATTTGGTGGGAAAACGGACACCAGACTGTGAGGCAAGCGCGTCTGCTCGCGTCCAGAGACCGCACTCAATGTGACCTGTCGAAGGCGGCCGATGGGCGACTGGCCGAGAGAGCCAGGCGGGAACGGGACGGTCGTAGCACGACCATACATTTCAACCAGACTCTGCCGGCGAAACTGGTCCGCTGCTCTGGGGCTGCTTTACTGCTGCGGCAGCTTCTGTGTCATCATAACGGACTGCTTTATTGCTGCGGCAGGGTCGGTGTCGTCAAAACATACTGCTTTCCTGCTGCGGCAGGGTCGGTGTCATCATAATAGACTGTTTTACTGCTGCGGCAGGGTCGGTGTCATCCTAATAAACTGTTTTACTGCTGCAGCAGGGTCGGTGTCATCATAACGGACTGCTTTACTGCTGCGACAGGATCGGTGCCATCATAACAGACTGTCTTTTACAAGGACTCTGAAGCATAAACCTCCTAAGTGCTCAGTCAGTCAAAGACCCTTAAAGGACCGTCCAGTGACGGACACCAGGTCGTCACCGACCTCCAGCTGACATTGGTCCGTCACTTACCTGGCGCTGAGAGCTCTCTGCCGTTGATCCGGGCAGAGCTGAGCTGACGCCGGTGCATGTAATCGCTCTGTGAATTAGGTCACTGGCCTACGGCTCGCAGAGATGGCAATACTTATGGCTGATGTGATACTGAGGTCACCGCCCTGAGGCTGACGCAAGTGGCTAGTGACTGGCGTCTCTGGTATGGGGATGACGTAGATGACGTTGTTCCCCACCTGACTCGTAATGAGCACCACTAGAATGTGGGCTGTGATTGATCGATGACTTAGGCCACTGACCCGTGAAGGGCTCTGCTGTTCTTTACCTGATGCCACTGTCCCGTGCCTGGTCCGTGTCTGACCTCCCTGCCTGATCTAATTCATGTCTAACGTCGCTAACCTGGTACTGACGTCACTGACCTGGGGCTGACGTCACCGACCTGGGGCTGACGTCACTGACCTGGGGCTGGCGGAGCTGACCAGGAGCTGACATCACTGACCCGGGACTGACGTCACTGACCTGGGGCTGGCGGAGCTGACCAGGGGCTGACATCACTGACCCGGGACTGACGTCACTGACCTGGGGCTGGCGGAGCTGACGTTGCTGTGGAGCCTAAGGTCGTCGGCGCCCCGCACCTCTAGCCGGAAGGTCTGCGGCAGGCCGCCGTCGAAGCCCGGCCGGCAGCGCACCCGCAGGCCCGAGCTGGAGCGGTCCGAGACCTCACACGAGGCTGGCGGGTCCGGCACGTCTGATCGAGGGGGAGCAGGTCACCACCACCCGGTCGCAACAAGTGGGACACTTGTTGGGAGCGGCACCATGCTCCATGCACGGCGTGGTTTAACTCATAGTGATGTGTCTGGAAACATAAACGCATCTGTTGACGGGTTAGCGGTTTGCGTACACCATTCAAAGAGCTCAATGTGCATCCCTGAGCGCCAGAAAGCAAGGAGCGGTGAAGCTATGTCATTTTGACAAATACCTCGCAATGAGCTAACACATCTATCGTAGAGACACGCGTTCCAAAGAAACAGTTGATCCACCGCCCCTGTGATTGAAACAGAGCATGGAGTTGCTTGGCGCGTAGTTAACCCCCATGCACTCGAAGCCACATATTCAGACCGAGCCCACACTTCAGTCAATACCCCATCACCATAGTCCGAGCTGAGCGGGGCTTACGTGACGACGCGGAAGAAGTGCTCGGAGGAGCAGGCACAACAGTCGGCCCTTACAGTGTAAGCAGCACCAGCCTCGTCCAGAGCCAAGACGTTCGAAGACGAAAAGGGGCTTCTCCCCATCGCTCTTTGCTGCCATCGCCTCGCAAAAGTTTGCGTGCTATCTCTGAGCGCTCCCCGGCCCCATGGCTCGTCGGCGTCGGTTCGCCTCACCCGACGCTTTGATGACGTAGCTGCACGCCTCCTGCTGCTCGCCCAGTGCGTTCTGCGCCCAGCAGCGCAGCAGACCGAAGTCGGCCGGGCGCCGCGGAGTGTAGCTCAGCACGCTGGTGTTCCCCAAACCAGCGCCCAGCTCCTGCAGGGGACGCGAGGAGCCTGCCGACAGCGTTAATCCCTCAGGCCTGGCAACGGAGGCACGGGCAAGAGTGCGGGAAACGGACAGCAGGAGGTGGCTGTCCCGTAATCTTTTGAGCATTTCCTCTCGGTATTTTAAGAACGCACCGCTACCCAATGCTATCATGACTTTGCATGACAAAAAAGGTCTCTAATGTTCGAAAGCGCTTCAGTAATTTGCCGGGTACACTGTCCCAGCTTTGAGTCAGTTCGTGCACTCCAGGCCAATGGATTGTGAGGGGCGTTGGTCATGTCAGGAAGCAGCGGCGGCTTCGCTCGGAAGGAGAGAGATGTGCCAGGACAGCGAGCGGCGACACGGAGTCCACGGCGGGGCTCCGGTAGATGGGCACGACCGGAATCGACATGGATTCCACACAGTGGGGGTCGGTTACACGTTGTTGTGGTGAATGTAGCCTGCTAGAAAGGGTTGGTTGAGACTAGAAGAAGCGACAGGTCTGGGGATCAGAGGGCACGGGAAAACGGCTGGTGAGCAACAAGGTCAACAAGAAACAAGGTCAGTCGACCCCCGGCCGCCAGGTTCCCAAGGTTCCCAAGGGATCCGACAGCCTCCATCGCTCTTTGTGGACTGCGAACGTCAGCCACGCCTGTTGCGTAGAATAACGCAAACGATCACCACGGCGCTGGCGCTCGCCAGTGCGAGCATCATAAGATGGGAAAATGTGCCCAGATGAGAGGCAGTTCATCATCAGACCAGTCGTCACCGTCCGTGATATGAGGGATGACCACAGTGATTGGGTTTCTAGATGATAAATCGTTTTCAATTACCGATTATGCAGCGTTCAAGGCTCGCGAGCCCCACACCACACCAGATATAAATCAAACCGGCCGGAAACAGCAGCAGAGAACCCGCAAAACTCTAGCGTCCATTGCCACATCAGACCAACCAATTAGCGCGCAACGCGGTTTTTTGGCGCTGAAGCGTTCAAGCGCGCCATACCTGAGCTGTTGAAGCTCCACCTATACTTCTCCGGCTTGGGGTGGGACATGACGGCGCAAGTGACGTTGAGCATGTCCCCTCGCGCCGCCTCGAACACTCGCTCGTGCGGCGACTCGCAGAACGGCACGTCTGAAGGGAGACATCGGTGCGTTCCAAGCTAAGCTGAGCCATACACTGTACATCAGCATACCGTGGCCTCATTATTGAAAGCAGATGCAGAGATGTAATGCAGGTAATGCAAGCAATACTGTAAATCTGGTCTAATTTTATGTAAATGCAATTTAGTGTTATGCAAATTGAAGTTATCGCTGCGCAATTACGCCATGCAAGTAATGACGGCATTAAGTTTGCAAAACATCGTCCCACAGTCGACCAATCAAATTAGCGCCGTACCCGGCCGTGCTACCTTACAGCCCGTCCTCGCGGGCCCCCGTGGCGCGCCAGACACCCCGCCAATGCCCGCTGCGGCCTCCACACTCCGTGTCACCTCACATCCGGTCCTCTCGGGCCCCCGTGTCACGCCAGACAACCCGCCAGCGCCGGCTACGGCCTCCCCTCTCCGGGCGCCGCCGCGGCAGCTGGTCCACTCACGCTGTACGCGTACGGCGACGGCTCCGCTCTCGGTGGTGCCCAGGCTGTTGGTGGCCGAGCAGGTGTAGTTACCAGAGCTGTGCGGCCCGACGTCAGTCAACGTCAGCTCCTCCGCCCCGGGCCGCACGCCCAGCGGCGATTCCGTCAGCCAGACAGTCTGTAATGCCAGCGGAGTCAGTTCGCCCAGACTCTGTCAGTCAGACAGCCTGCAACGCCAGCGCAGTCAGTTCGCCAAGGCTCTGTCAGCCAGGCAGTCTGGAACGCCAGCGGACTCAGTCCGCCCAGACTCCGCCAGCCAGACAGTCTTTAACGCCAGCTGATGCAGTTTGCCCAGACTCCGTCAACCAGACAGTCTGTAGCATCAGCAGAGTTAGTTTGCCAAGACTCTGTCAGCCAGTCTGTAACGCAGGCAGAGTCAGTCCGCCAAGACTCTGTCTGTCAGACAGTCTGTAACGCCAGCGGAGTCAGTTCACCCAAACTCCGTCAGCCAGCGGTCAGTCCTCTCAGCTCGTGAGGCTCGTGGCTTAACTTCGTCGAGGAGTGTTCTCCGCCCAGCACCAATCGCAGTGTGGTAATCGATTCGCTTCGTCAATTTCTGATAAGCCTGCCGTCAGAGAACGGCAAACCCAGCTCCGAGGATCTCGTGCAACATTTACTGGGTGATTAAACATGGCAGGTGAGTTAAGGCAGGCTGCCACGTGTTCTCCATCCCTTCCCCCCCCCTCTCTCTCTCTCTCTCTCTCTCTTTCCTTCTCTCTTTCCATCGCTCTCTTCCCCATCTCCTCTACCCACCTCCTTTCCCCTCCCTCTCCCTTTCTCGCTCAGCTTCACAAAAGGTCACAACCGGAACTCAAACCGCAATGGGAGTGTCAGATAACCTGGGCTGACGGCGACAGAAGTGGAGTACTGGAGACACCGTACTCAGCGATGTATAGGATCATTAGAACAAGTCAGCGTCCACTGCAGAAGGAAGCCCGTTACTAAAACACAGCCAGCGCTGCGTGCTTCTGGCTGATATCATCCCAAGCAAACCCACACCTGGCGCCAGGCCAAGGGTCGGCAGACACCCCACTCACGTCATGCCTCCAGCGGACGCGCGTAGCTGGCGGTTCTGCCCGGACCCGGCACAGCAGCTGGACCGTCCCACCAGCCACCGAGTCTCGCTCCGGGCGCTGGGTCAGCGTCACCTCGGGAGGATCTGATGGACAGACTCAGAACGTCACCACCGGCGGATCTGATGGGCAGATTCAGTACGTCACCACCAGCGGATCTGACGGGCAGACTCAGTACGCCACCACCGGCGGATCTGACGGACAGGTCTGACGGGCAGACTCAGCACGTCACCACCGGCGGATCTGACGGGCAGACTCAGTACGCCACCACCGGCGGATCTGACGGGCAGACTCAGTACGTCACCACCAGCGGATCTGACGGGCAGACTCTGCACGTCACTACTGGCGGATCCCACCGGCTTGCAAGCCGCCACGACGGATCTGACAGGCAGATCCTCTATCTCACCACAGGCGGATCTGACGGCCGGGTCTCACAGTCTGTCATAAGCAGAACTGACAGTGAGACCCCCACACGCTACGCCGCCTGACGGATCCTACCGTCAGACTGTACTTCACCACAACGTCCGGCATGCCATTCCAAGTTACCCTCCAGTCGGCATGCTCAATTATTTACTGGCTTAACTTGTTGATGGCCGAGAAAACACGGACGGTGTGCTGCGGTCGCTCAGGCGGCGCTCCCGTGGTGCGTTTTGAAAGAACTCAGGCTAGCGATTTTGGTTTGTATTACCAGCATACGATCAATTTGGTTTGCTAAGAATAATGGTGCATCATGTGCCGGGTCGAAGAGTCATAAGCATGAAGCAACCAAAACAGATTGTGTATTTTAGAAGATGTCAGCTCATGTCAAGAGACAGCTACCAGTATGAAGACAGGCTGAAAATGTGATTGGCGACGAGCCACGAAACATTAAACAACCTTTTCCAACTAACAAACATAGGCAGCCACAAGCCTTTGCTTGTTCGAATGACAGCTTATTCTCATCAAACGTTTGGTATGAAAGTTTTTACGCGCATTCAGGAGAATGGTGATGGATTTGTTTGCCCAATACATTTCATGAAGGAAAATCTGTTTCCAACAATGAGGTCTTTTAACTAAACACTCAATACTTTACATAAATACTTCCCACATTGCTCCGAACAGTTCTGATACCATCATGATTTGGCGCACAAGTCGTTTCTAGATCGCGTCTCTGAGTGTCGTCCTGTAATGTTTTTCAAGATTAGTGAGGAGCATTAATGCTGTGAGGACGTGTCGCCAACAAATATGCGACTTAGGAAGTTGCTTGAGGAGTCATTTACATAACAAGGAACTAGTAAGGCCATCTCGTCAACGCTAGAAGCAAGCAGACTTTACAAGCGGAGCGGGTCAAAAGATTCTGAACTTTTTAACTCACGGATCTGTTAAAGAGAGTGCTTTACATTTGTATGCGCTTTTGAACTGAAATAGCCGTCTTGAAGCTGATTCGGCGCAGTTCACAGCCCTGCCCTTCTCAAGACTATACCATACTGGTTTCTGATCTAGGCGGCCGCGGAGATGTGCTTACTACTTCAAGGTCTCCCAGGCATCCATGACGCTGTAATATTGTCATTCAAATTATACGATTCCATTAGCCATGCGACGATCACGGCCAAGCAAATTGCAACTGTCGAGTCGCTCATATCTGGCGTTCGTGAGCTCGATTTCCAGATGTATCGGCAGGTACTTGGCTCTTAATCAGTGTTGTGCAAGGTACCATGACGTTGTCAAACAATGCCATATGCGGAACATAGTTACTAAACAGAGAAATTGTTTCCTGAGCAATATTCTCTTCTTAAAAGTATACCAGTAGTTAAAAGTGAGCTTATTTCATCATATGTGATCAAACATCGTACAATCAATATTGTAAAATGTGGAACATTCCCATTCAGCGCAAATGAACACTTAAAATAACGTTTTTGACAGCAAAGCACAAACATTTTCAACCACGTTAAGTCCATCATTTGCACAACGTGCTCATATGACTATGTTATCAATGTCCAGAAATACAACTAATCCACACTTCACGTCTCACCCATATCCATGGCGGGGTCGGAGTTTTCATTCCAGTGATGTGACCGGCAACTAGCACATTTTTTAACCAACCCGCACCGGACCGGCATCTGGCACCACCGCGCTGAGCCAGGGGTTGGGGATGGGGATGGGGTGGGGTTGGGCTGTGGCCCCAGTATCTTGTCTTGCATGCATCGCACGAAAAAGTAACGATAGCGTCAGAGGAACCTCACCGAGGCAAGCTGAAAGCACTTACAGTGCTTGACCTCATATTGACTTTAAGGTCGCGGTAGTTGTAGAGATGGCAAAGTATGTCGATGGATATCCGAAAATCGATATAAAACTGTAAATAGAGAAAACGAATTTAAGTGACGCTTATCAAGTCAAGGGTTAGGGATTCCATTGATACCCCTTCGGACTTTCAGCATGGGTCAGATCAGGCCAGAGCAAAGTAAAAAAAACGGTGCACATGTACAGGTCTTACACCCTCGTTCTCCCCCTACTCATGATCACAGTTTTCCCGATTATCTGTATTTTCTAACGGCCTTAATGAGATACCGAAACACTCTTGAGATGCTCAACCACCTTTGAAAATGAGCATGGGGTGGTTTAATGTTAACCAAGGCCAAGGTTAAAACGATCTGAATAAAAAGCTCTGCAGGTGTCTTTATAAGCGGTAGAATGCATTCCCAGGGTAAATGAATTCAAGAAAAGGTCATGCGAAATCAAGTGAGGTCACCATAAATTTTGCTCTGTTTCTGCTTCAGGTGTTATTTTTTGCCTGGCAGGCCCTGGAAGAAGCCCTACAGATAACACGTCATATTACAAAAGACCTATTTCAGTCAAGATGATCGGAGAAGACCTCTTCTTCAACCTCTTCTTTGGAGACCATGTGTGATAAACTGGCTGAACTTCTGAAGTTTATCAACGATCGTGGGCCTCACATCACCTGGGACTACTCAGGCTGTTTGGGCCTCACATCACCTGGGACTACTCAGGCTGTTTGAGCCTCACATCACCTGGGACTACTCAGGCTGGTTTTTCCTGCGAAGTTTTTCTTCTTGGTATAGACACTTTATGTCGCAGGCCTTCCGGTGTCTAATGAGCATGATCCTCTCATTGAGGATGACTATCAGAAGTCCTGCGACGTGAGGAGGCGTAGTGTAATCTGTGAGCAAAGTGGGGATGATTGCATTGTCTTAGCGTGTCAAGCGCGCCAACTGAAATTATACCGATAAGCACTGATGTATTAATGCAGATCAAATGCTGATGGATTAGGAATGAGTACGGTTTAGAGGAAATGAGCATTTGAAATTCACCTTTAGCGTTGCTTTTAATAGCTGCAGACACTCATTAAAGGCTGAAAAAGGCTGCCGCATGCACTGTTGAGCTCACATGCGGTCAATGATCACAGCTGACCTCCAATGGTTTATTTCGTTCTATCTTGTGACATAGGATTATTTTGGTCATGAAACTGAATCCAGCGTCTTGTTTGTCCTTATGAACAGAGAACTTGTTGATTCCTAGAAAATCCCTCTCTGTTTCAAATCTGCCTTCTCTGGTGGCTACTAGGTGACCTGGGGCAGATCATCTACATTCTGGTAGTATGATGGTGACACATGTTTCGGGTCATGTTGCCCAATTTATCTCAGGGATACATCTTGCTCAATACATAAGCGCTGGTGAAGTCTCCAAAAGGGCTATCAATTCACTTGATCGAATGCTCTTAAAATTTTACGAAACATTCAACATTCACAAATTTGACGTTAACAATGCCTTACACCTGTAAATGTTATTGAAATTGTGATGCCCGTGAGAAGGCTGTAAGCGGTCAGTCTTACTTTGATGTTATAACCTTTCATCCCGCTTTGCTATTCTCCCTGCATTATTTTGCAAGGTCGCTGACCGAATATTTGGTTGGGTTTGAATACATAATTTGACGCAATGTATCAAAATGAGCAGGGTGCAAGCATTGCAGAATTCAGTTATTTCTTTAATAATAAAATCATCACAATATACTATCAAATGTATGTAACAATATGACATATAATATATGACATAATAATAGCTAACATAAAATAATAATATAATAATAATATCCTAATTCCTGGGAGAAAAGCCAGGAGACTGGAGATGAGATGCGTTGATACTTCGGCAGCATGCATTTATCAAAACAAATAGCAAAATCGAATTCACTTCTTACTATGAACATAAGATTTCACTTTACAATTCAATTCTGCTATTCGTTTCGATAAAGATATGTTACCGGAATGTCAACATATATATATATATATATATATATATATATATATCTCTCTCTCTCTCTCTCTCTCTCTCTCTCTCTCTCTCTCTCCTCTCTCCTCTCCATCCCTCATCTCTCTCTCTCCCCCTCCCCTCCTCTCCTCTCTCTCTCTCTCTTCTCTCCATTCTCCTGTTTTTTTTCCCGAGGAATAAGGCTATCACTACTGTCTTGTTTACATGCATAATGTTTCTCGCAAATGGACTTAAACGCTTACATTCTAGGTATCGAAAAACTTGCACTCTAGATTTTGAAGAGCTTCGCGGTCAGAAGTGTTGCCGGCAAACGCAGACGAGATCAATACACGGAATCCCAAAAACAGCTAAATTGGCCCAATTTCGACGAGGCTGTCACCCACCACGACTGCATATGTTTGCATCGCGCCATTTACGTGCCTGATGGACCACGGGTTATCAGTAATCTGATCAGGCTCCAATCTGAAGTATCTCAGTGACACACCAGAGTCACCAATGACGAAACTGTACTGCAGACGAGCGCTGTTTAACATCCTCGCTTAGAGTGCGTGAAATGGGCATTGCCCTATTGAGCCGTGGCGGCGTGGAATCGCCTCCCTGCTGTCACGCGCCAGTGCAAAAACTTAAATGAATTCAAGGGCAGAGCAATGTCTTTCATCAGAGAACTTACCTTAACTGACCAACTGGCCATGACGTGCAGGTGCTGATTGCATCACAAGTCGCTCATGTTTTACAACACCGTTTGTGTTTGGCTGGCGTAGCGTCTCATTTGCATGTGTTGCGTGTTTCATGTTCCTTTGTGTAGTATGTACTGGTGCGGTGTTAGAATAGCCACGTACTGGATTTCGCCAAGGCTCGCAATAATAATAAAAGTAATCAAAATTTCAGAGTACCGCGCCTTTTTGTTTTTTGGCACTTGACGAAAACCGAAGGGGCATCCGAACGTCCCCACTCCTCCACGGGCCTGGCACGGATCAAGTCGCGCGGCAGGATTTGCGAGATGCGTACGGTTGTCATTGGGAGGAAACGTCTACACTGGTAAAACAATATACCAACGCCCGGCGTTCAACGATCATTTGAGTCACTGCACGTCAGATTCTGCAGGCCTTGAACCGTGCTGCATCACACAGATTTGATCTACATCGCAAGGGGAACCTTAGACTGCACTATGGATTTGGAATGGCACGTGGCACATCCGTCCTGCAGAGAGCCCGCGGCACGGCTGCTGCATCTATTTCACGGAGCTCTACTGGCTGTTAGCGCGATAAGCACCACAAATCAACCAATGTTATACGTCAAAGGCGTCATGCGCATCTGGTTAAGATTCCTGGCAAATTGATGATGAGCGCGCACGCTATCACAGACGGTGCCGCCTGGTTGTCATGCTTGGCCCGCCTTCTCCCTTTGCAATCGCCCCAATAAACGAGAGAAAAATCACCACTTACACTGCACGACGAGGGCCAATGAGTCCTCGATAACCTCGTCGCCGGCCAGCGGGTTGGCGGCGCGGCAGGTGATCGTTTGACCTTGATCGCTGACCCGGGGCGTGAAGGTCACGCTGGAGGTCGTGCCGTTGCCGGCGGCGCCTGGCGACTGCCGCTCGGCGCCCGCCAGGGGGCCGGCGCCTAGCCACCACGTGACCACCGGCTCGGGGTGCGACCCGGCGACCCGGCAGGTCAGCATGGTCGGTCGTTTGGCGCGGAGCGGCGCCGCCGGTGGAGCCAGAGACACCGACTGCGGCCGCACTGAAACGCACACCATCTCATCAGCGCTGTGCTCGGCGCCAGCTGCACCATTAGTGTAATGCGACGGCCGTTAAGCCCAGCGCCGGCTTCCAGAGCACCGTAAGCGGCCTGAAACCCAAATATTGTCTCTGACCGCCGCCCGTAAAGCTTCCGACACCCCGTTAATGGCGTTATTAATGGGACGAGGTTGCTGGCGCTGATAGAGCGTGCTGACTGTTGGCGCTGCCGCGCGGCGTTTGGTGCTGGACCTCGGCGTCAGGATGCAGATGACCGTCTGCGGGATGGGATGGAACGGCGGGCAACAGCGCACGCACGGCGGGAGGTCGCCGGGGCGCCGCCGGCCAGCGCGGTCACTTGTGCGACAGAGGACGGAGGTGACAGGACGACACATCGGGCCCGGCGGCAGCACGGACGACATAGCACCGACTGTTTGACGTGCATACGCATAACAGTCGGCAGGGTAGACGACGGGCTACATAACGGTCGGCAGGGCAGACGACGGGCTACATAACGGTCGGCAGGGTAGACGACGGGCTGCATAACGGTCGGCAGGGCAGACGACGGGCTACATGGTGCCATGACGACACCAAATGTAACCAAAAGCACGAGCGTAATGTTTGTGTCAACGGACAGCCATAGTCGCTAACTGTAGAGTAGTGCTCGTGAAACCTAAGTAGAATTATATTGGATCTATGCAATTGCCCAGAAAACGCGAGCATGACCTTAAACAAAATACACAGCGGGCACATCGATTGTGATACACTGTCAATTTTTGCAGGACAATTTTGACGGAAGTGAAAAGTCCCCCCAAAAATAGCACACTTTTCGACCGGCTGTTAGCGAGGATGGAATCCATCGTTTGCGTGTTTTCAACTGTCATGACGGAAATACACGTTTGCAGGCACTCGGCCTGGAGCCCAGTCTCACGTCGACAAAGTTTGCCGTCGCCCAAATGCCAACACTGAGCAGTGCTGCAACGCCGGCATCCACACTTCAAATGATTGACAGATTAGCATTTCTGCCGCACCGGTGATGCCCCACTGACGTAAATCTGGCAGCACCGGGCTGCCAGATCCAGCCGATCAGCCGCTGGTCGCTGTGACCGTACCGCGGCCTGTTGTCGGCGGCCGGCCGGCCTGCGGACGCAATTGGCCACATTGGCCGGCGCGGGTCGCCGGGCGCCAAATTAACTCGGGCCACCGCCGCCCGGCCGCCATCAGAGGCAGCGCTGGGGGCCGGCCGGGCACACGCTCGCTTGATTCGGCACGTCTGACGGCGGCAGGCGCCGGGCGCCGTCCCGCCTGCTGCTGACATGTCGGGTGATGACATGGCTACTGGGCACATGTCTAGCGGTGGCATGGCTACTGGGCACATGTTTTGCGCCATGGTTACTGGTCGCATGTTTGGGGGTACAGGGCTGCTGGGCAAATATCTGGCGGGGGTGGTAGAGGTGTGTGTGCTGGCGGCCCGAGCGATAACGACACGTGTATGGTGCAGGTCTCATGCGCAGCATGCCTGACCCGCGTGACGTGATGGTGGGGAAGCGTGATGCGTCCGAGAACGGTATGTGCAATGGCGACATGTCTGGCAGAGAAATGTATGAAAGTACCCCTAGCCTGCGTCTTTTGGGTGCGCACATCGTCATCTGTCGCGACAATTATCGTTTCTAATAGCAACCAACGTAAGGTACCTCCAGGTTAATAATCGGCATCTACAGAAAAAGATGAAATCAATCTAGATCTAACAGCTGCAGTAAGATTGTGGTGCTTTACATCGATTGCCCAAGGACGACATCTATCGGGAGGAATGTCGTTTCAGAGTAAACGTTCTGAGCAAATGAACAGTTGAACGTATCGCATACAAGGAAGAGCATTACACAAATAAAACTAAAATTATAAACAAAGGTATCGGTCACCTTCAGCTTCAGTTGCATCCTGAGCTGGAGAGTGTTGGTATGTCGTTGCCTACGCTGAGGTCCCGAATAACGGACTGACAATGCATCTCTGGTAAGCACACCTATGTTCTCGCGTTTGTTCTAGTTATGGAGCACGTAAGCTAATGTTGCTTATCGTCATTAAAACTCGTGAAGAGGATAAATGTTACCGTAGTGCAGTTAGGTGTTAAACAGCGCAGGTCAATCATTCCGCAGCGGAGGACGGAAGCGAGCGTGTGAAGAACGTAGCGTCATATCTCGTTCACAGCCTGACTGCACCTGCACATCTGATCTCACGTGCCTTGGCTTTTCTCCGCTCTTCTCAGGACTCAGTTCAGCACGCAAGTCCATGTCATGAACGGCCGCTGCTTAAGATGTTGTTCGTGTTCGGCGCGACGGTGTCACTGGATAGATGTCCCGTTCCGCCCGTCCCGTCCCGCCCGTCCCGTCCCGTCCCGATAGATGCCTGTCCCGTCATTGGACCGCTTGGCGAGCGCGCGCCGGCACATTGGCGAGAATCACCATCATCCTTCGCCCTGGGTGTAGGCCTGTTCCAGCAGGTACCAAATTAGTTGGCCAGTCATTTCCGCCAGTGAGCCGGGGGGGGGGGGGGGGGGGGGTCCCAGGGGGGGGGGGGGGGGGGGCACCGGCTTGGTTGTAGGCTATCTCACATCGTTACTATTGTGACGAGGAGTTTTATTAATACTGTGGCCGTGCTAACGACCCGTTTAGGGAAGTTAAACTCAGAGATAGACTACGTCGGGCTAATAAACGTAAAGGCGATGTGCTTTGAGCCAAGACAGGTTTAAAAAGCGTAACAGATGTGAATGGCGAAATACATAGGAGAAAACGGCGAGTCGCTCACGTTACGCCGACCGTAAAACAAGCTGCCACTGCAGTAATTGGGATGGAGGCTTACGAGGAACCCTGTTCCTGATGTTCTCGCGAGTCGTGTGCGATCGATGACTGGTAAATGAAGGAAAAAAAATGTGAGCCGTGATAGCTCAGAGACGAGGAAAGGTACGCAGCGAATGGAAGCCAAAAATCAGCTGCCAACAAAGGATCCGCAGCTGGACTTGGTCACATGGAAGCGTTGCTTGAGACGACTTTAGATAACGCCCGGTATTAACTTAGACATCTGGCACTCCTGCTATTAACAAGAGGGTTGTGCTCCAGCCAACGAAGTGGAATGGCCGCCCCGAGCGCCGCGGACATTGCAAAAAGCCCTTTGGAACAATAGATCGACGCAAAAGAGATAAGCGACGAGCACGAGACAAAGAACCTGCGCGAAGCTGTCTAGTATATAAAGCATCCCGCAACACTCGCAGATTCTGACCCGTTTGATTCGCCTACTCTAGAGTTACTGGTCCTGTCTGAAACTCGGGCGTCTTCCTTCTTGTCAAAGGTCACCTCAGCGGAGATGTCAAGTTGAAGGTCTGCCGTCCGACGTCAGCGTGGAAGACCTGACCAACACGGATCCGACAGCGAAAAGGGAATGGTGCGTCCATCTAAATATCTCTGGCATTCACTCGCATCCGTCATTAGTGCGAAGCTCATCAGCCAACGTGGTACCACGCTGTTGGTGGATAACACAATTCGGAGAGTTCGAGGTCGCATCACGGCGGAAGTAGTTCGGGAAGTTACAAACGTCCATCTTGTTGTCATGAGAGGTTGTTAGGAATTGTATTTTAAAGGACGGAAGGACCAAACGCCCGTAAGCTTGTTGCCAAAGGGCAGTGAGGATCGTCACGTGGTTATTTCTAAGCGCCACGCAAAGAGGTGCGCTCAGTTGCTTTTGAAATCAAATGGGACATTTCCGTTTTTCGATGCCATGGAACAAAGATGAACCGAGTTCACAATGGCGGGGTCGGTCATCGTCGCCTCGTCGAGCTGGAGCATAAACGACCCGTCTCCTTGTTTGTTTGTCAATGCGCGCCGACAAGCTCAAGCTCTGCGAACTGTTCGTGCGATCGGACGGTGCGGCCACTGTTTCTAAACGGTGCCTAGGCCGGAGCGTAAAGGCTTTGGCCGGGTCGGTCAAGCTTCCGACGGTGGTCAGCTTTCGATCAATTCTCCGGATCGTTAGCAAAGTACCACCTGAGGTTCGCGCCGATCTGAACACAGGCCAGAATCATATCTGCCATGGTGTGTAGACATGCGTCTGCTCTCAAAGCACTGGCAAACAGATTGATCAGCTGAATCATGTCAGGTGGCTGACGTTGGCATCGAGGGCAGTGGGCTCCTACACATCTTCAGGCCTGCAGATAGCAGAAAATCTGAGATGGCTTGTATAATCGACCGTCAAGGACTATGCACCAATTCGGTTCTGCGCCGGCCAGCATTATAAGTGCCTATCCGGTCCAGCTAACGTCGTCAGGAGGGATTCGATCGCTGAAGCGTCTGTGTCCCGAGTTAGCTACCTCCTACTTAGCTCGTGCTATCTTATGTGGCTGGTTTAATGTCGAGCCAGAGAAGTGAAAACTTATATGTCATTTTGTCTTAATCGATGATGGTTCGGGTTAAGGTAACACATACTCAAGACATCAGACATTTATTTATGGCTGCTAGAAATATATTAAGTCCGGTGGTCGTCGTCCTGGCAACGGAACGCAAAAATCTACGCCAACGCCAAATGTAAAAACTACGACAAAGGTCACGTGACGGCTTTGAGGACCTGGCTTAATGTGTAGTTTGTGAAATCGAAAATACAGATTAACAATCGGCGTAAGGTTGTACTTTCGCGTAGACAAACTGGCTACTGGTTTTTACTAGACACGGGCTACTGGTTACTGGTCATGAGTCATGAGCTCTTAAACCAGTTCCCCAGAGCTAGAATGCAACCTTACGCAAAGAATAAATGTGCATTTTCCATTTTACAAACTACACATTAGAGGGAGTGTGTCTAGTCAAGTTGGGATTTTTAACTGTGCACATAGGATGGAAGGGAATTTCGATTACAAAATTTTGGGTGCCATCGATTTCTACCAATGCACCTCCACTGACGAGATATTGCCACAGCCCCCTTCCCCCCCCCCCCCCCCCCCCCAGCTTTTCTTTGGTTTGTATGGAGGGACGAAGTTATCGGGTAGCCCCAAAACAATACTCACTACTCAACACATCAACACCATTGAAAAGGTATCATTAGCTCTAGCCAATGGGTTTTCGACGATGTCGCTTGTCAGCACTGACAGCAGCTTGCGAACGCAGCGACACATATATTTTTTAGTGTTGTAGATAGTATTTCTAAATTGCGCCTTTGCTTTGAAACGAATAAATCAAGCAAATACTTGTATATTTTATGACACTATCCGGCGTTTCAAGGTGGAGCTCATGGTCACGAGTCACTTGCAGCCGTGAGCACTGCCTTGAAACGTCAACCAACGTTGAACACAAGCGTCGAAACGTTGAAACTAATACCACATACGACTGATTGCTCGACATCTTCATCTAACCAGCCCACCGTGGTATGTTGGAAGTTGGTCTCTCTCGACGTGAGAACGGCTAGGGCCAAAGCGGATCAAGTGATCCGATGAAACAGATGCTGGTGTAATTCCGAAGCCCTGCTGTTGATGATGCAGGCGGACATAGACAAAGAGAAGCGAGATGAAGGTGTCCATCACACCATGAGTGTCGCCATCAGTAGCACCATCAGGGCGTAAGTGGGGAGGTCCGTCCGTCCTGCCAATTTGTGCAGGCCATCGGCAACATGTAACTCGTACACTGGACTTGCGAGGTGGTAGATAAACCACCAATGACAATGAGGCTCCATGGGCCAGAGAGCAGGACTTACCGATAAACGCATGGAAGTTATAAGCTACCTAACGCACACGCAAACGGTATAGAAGGCGGTGACGACCAGCATGGAAGCAGCGTCAAAGGTTGCTCCGGAGGGAGCTCGGCACGGCTACAGTGCGTCAAAGATGAAGCGTCGCGACCCTGCCAGTAATCTGCGATAGGGGAGGCCTGAGTTTGTTTCTGGAGGCAAGGCTGGCAATATGGAGCTGCGCTTTTAAAACTGTCTTGAATTCGTGGGCCTATCATGATGCATGCCTTCTTTTGGAGATAATTGTGTGGACAGGAGCATGGGTCATTCGAGACGGAACTTTCACCCGCGGTTTAGCTTGCCCATCATTGTGAGTGAAAACAGATGCAATTGTTTGAGGCAGGTATGGGCTGGCGCACGATTCTAGAAAACAACTATTTTGGAGCTGCCACGATTGCATGAGTGCAGAAGTTCTGCGTTGTACAATACAGGTATATGAATATGCATATATATATATATATATATATATATATATATATATATATCCCTCTCTCCCTTTCTCTCTCTCTGTCCTTCTTCCCTTCCTCTTTCTTCTCCCCCCCCTCTCTCTCTCTCTCTCTCTCTCTCTCTCTCTCTCTCTCTCTCTCTCTCTCTCTCTCTCTCTCTCTCTCTCTCTCTCTCTCTCTTGAGTTTTCTGTCACTGGTGCTCTTGCTGTACATACGAAAATATGATCTAAAAAAATATTGTGTGCTAGGCAGCACTCCCTGGTTCTTACATGCTTCTTTAAGTTGAGAGATAACAAAACTGCATTACATTGCTTGTCAAGATTTTTGACCGGCAAGAAACCACTCGATCTGGCCTACAACCCGGCCAAAACCTCGCGGGTTATTGCGGGTCAGATGAACGTAGATTGCTGGGTTGAAAAGTCATGTTTGTTATATGAACCTGCAGATATTGTGCTGCAGTTCGTGACGAATTACCTGATTCTGGTCTCTTTTTATTGGTACCCACAGGGATCGTGCTGAGCGCAGGATAGATAACCCCTCGACGACAGCCATCGCTTATCGAATTACATTAAGCGTATTTTACCCTTCCCATGGGAGTTCGGCGAGCGACACGACCGTGGTCGGCTGCTCAATGTTTGGCCGCCGACACAGGTTAACCCAGGTCATACCATCCATCCCAGTCACAGGACAAAGACTAATGTGTCTCAGCGGGCCGCCGGAGACAGCGGCCGAGTCGCTCGCAGCGTCGCGGCCGGCGCGGGCTTTGTTCGAGACGCGCTTCTGCCAGGAGCACAGCGCCGTTACGGTCGGGCCGAGCTGCTCCCGGAGGAGTGACGGCCAAGCGCCGCGGCGGTGCAGGTGCCTCGGTCGCGGCCCCGGAGACCGCTGGCCGAGCGGGGACAGATGCTTGGATGCCGGAGCGGTATATCAGAAGCACAATGCAGCGCTTCGCCTGTACACACGGCCGTTGAGCTCTCTCGGGTGGCGAAGAAGTTGAGACGGACCGACTGTGAGCGGGCGCGGACGGGCGTGTTTTGCCCGCAGGGAAGTTGTCTTGTTTTGTCCGCTGACACAATGGAAGCTGCGGCAGAAGCTCCGTTGTGCGTGAGAAGTGGTCGGCGACGGGGATTGCTGCTGGCAGCAGTGATGCATCCAGTCTGGCAGCCGTGTGGGCTGACGTCTAGCTGGTCTGTCAAGACTGGCATCGCGCCGGGCACGGTTCAAACTCTCAGCAATGCGTCTAACTTCTCGTAAGCGGCTGAACAGGCGCGCTTTCATTTGTGCCGCAAGCAGGAAAGACGTGCACGCAGGGCACAGAGGGGACATGGAGTGCAGCTACCCTTCCATCTCTTGGAAAGTGTTGCATTAGTTCTATGTCGTTCTACTGAATTGTGAAAAGATATCGAAAGCCTTTTGAAAATGAATATTTGATGAAAAGCTAAAAGCCTTTTTCCCATGGAGTCCCTTCTCCTCGATATCAACACTCAGCAAAAGCATTAACAACGCACGCATTACCAGCACGCGCTCTACCGTTATCCAAGGTGACGCCATGACAAAAGATCACGAACCATGAACCAAAAGCCATGCGACATGTCACAAAGATTGCATGGAAACGCGACCTCATTACCTAGGGCTTGTTGCATTGAATCATTTCAACAAACTAGGTAAGTTGTTTAGTGCCTTAGCGAGAAACATCATTCACATCAACAAGGTAGTATATATATATATATATATATATATATATATATATATATATATATATATATGTACGTTATTGCGTTTGTTAGAAATAGCTCATGGTACAACTTTTCATCTCTTCTAAAATTTACATCTGTGTACAAGTCTGTGTCAAAAATCCAAGCTCAATATATGTCGTGAATGATACATTAGATAAAGATTGAAAATTACAATAATCAGGATATGTGAGTTGGAGGAACAGGCCGTAGATATCATTGTCAGGTTTCATCATTCAATTTTGTATGCAGCATGCTACTGAAACTACCGGTTTCTTTGTGTCCTCGATGAATTTTAAACATCTCACATGAATTACAAATATGCATGCCCTCAATTCTATTGGCATCCTTGCTTTTACGCAGCATCACACCAATGGCGCAGCGATTGTCGTGGTGTGGAGCATGGATGGCAGTAAGAGGGAAATGCCGATAATTTAAGAGCCACCATGTGGTATTCATTACGTGGTGCTGTATGGTTTATCCATCTAAATGCAGCCAACATCATATGGGAGCCCGCGCCTGACTCTTATATATGCGTTATGATATCGCGCCGATTGTGACGCATTATAATGGTGTTTGTGCTTATGTACAGCGTATTGAGCTGAGGAGGCCCCCATGACTTGAAACATCCAGCTTGTTTTACTCTGTCAGTGCAAAGCCATCAACTGGCGCACATAATTTTGGAAGGCATAGCCTGTGGCTATTACTATGAGGTAGAAGGGTGAAATCTAACTACATTTTGGTGATGAGGCATTTAAAATTGTACCCGCTCCCTTTTCACCTGTTGGGAACTTGCATCACAGTCCTTAAGATCTACTTTGATAGCGTAGAAATTCCATAGCCCAGGTACTTTCATCTCTGTTTCTAAGTAGCATTATTGGTATTAGCCACATAATATTGTGCATTGGGTGATACTGACATGGCATCTTATACACACTTATGGGTAAGTTCAAAATAAGGAGAAATGACAAAACGCGGGTTAAAATTAAAGGGAGTGTTCCACATTTGTATAGCGTTTTGCACAGAAAAAGCCATCTTGAAGGTCATTTGGTGCGATTAACGGCCATGTCTTTGTTTAGCACTAAACCCCTCTAGTTTCTGAGCTACAGGCCCGTGAAAATGTGCAGGCTTCTTCGCGCAGACTATTTCTTTGATACCTAGACACCCATGACGTCATAATAACGTCATTCAAGTCCTGCTATTCTTCCGGCAATGCATCGATCGATGCCAATAAAACTATATTTGTCGAGCCGTTCATATCTGGTGTTGGTGAGCACGATATCCAGATATAAGGGCGGCCAAATAACTCTCAATCAATGTTGGGCAAGGTGCAATGACGTAATCAAACAATGACGTAGTGAGGAGCACATTTACTTAACAGAGAAATTGTGCTGGCTAGAGCAGCCTTTTCACTTAAAAATATCCATGGTTATAGTGACTTTATTTCATCGCATCTGATCCCTCCTTCAATATCTTTAAGTGTGGAGCATTCCCTTTGACTTAGTGCATGCGGGTTAATGCCGGGTCAGCACTGTAGCACAGCGATATTTTTCTAGCTGGATCTCCATCTGGCGGGGGTGGGTCGAGCTGCGGGCTGATATTTTGGGAAAAGTTGCGTCTCTAGTTCATACTCATTCGTTCGCCTGAACGCTGGTCAAAAGATGCAGCATTTGACGCTCGAGCGTTCACATTCAACAGCTCATCCCTCCCGGTGTGACAACCATCCTGAAACGCCGCGATGGCGTTGACTTTATTTACTCGCAGGGCTAAATATTCAGCCATTAGTATTCTGCTAGATCGAACCAACAGCGTAGCAGCGAATGGCGGCAAAATCCCGCTGCGTCCGCGACCATTAACTGGGCTTTGGCTGGCTGGCGAATGAGCAGGGACGTACAAACAGCATCTGTTTGATGTCTGGGTGATTCGGTGGTCGTGCCCCTCTTTGTCACTGCACTCTCTCTCCGGTGGGCTGCCGACGCCCGGCGCCCATCGATCTCCCGACTTGGCTGGACGGCAAGCGCGGCGCGGCGATGATCGCTTGTTGGTCTATTGGAGTAATGGCCGGAGGCAGCATCTTCACGTGAACTCATGTCAGCTGCAAGCTTGGTGAAGGATATATGTGTTGATAAAAAGTGAAACAGCTGAACACGTCACATAAATTAAGGCGTTATGGCGCGCTGAACAGAGAACTGCACACCATGTTGATAAAATAAATACACATATTTAGTGCATAGCATTAAATACGCCGTTTTAGCCCCCACTCAAGCTTTAAGCTCATTTGTCAGGCATGAAATATCGTCTCGTGAGATAGACTGGACGTTCCGCTAACCAGGGAGCATCTGCGGATGGATCCGTGTGACAAGGGCATCATTGGACGCCTCCCCCCCCCCCCCCTCCCCCCGTCCGTCGGCGGCGTTTCGAGCGTCCTCTGAGAGCAGCAGGGTTTTGTCCTCGGAAGCCGCGCTGGCAAAGTGCAATGGTGGTGAGACAATGAGACAATAGGTATGCCCTGCTGTTTTGATTTAATAACTCAGCTTACAGAACGTACTTTTATCGCTTGTAAAAGCTGTTTGGCAATCGGGCCAGTTTATCGACCTTCAGACCAAGAAGCAGGCTTTTACTGAGGCTTTACAGTTTTCCTGCTCTAGGAAACAGTGTGACCAGCAGTAAGTCTTAAGCTATTGACGATGCGACCAAAGTATAATTGACATCGTTGACATTCATGCAAACTTAACAACAAAGTAAGAGAACCCCAGCTCAAGTTTGAAACCACTGAAATTGCTGAATAAATCGCAGTAGGCCTGAGAAATTGGCAAAGCATTCCAGCATTACGTCAAGTCCTACCAGGTGACCGGAAAGCTGCAGAACACGATCATCGCTGACGTGGCACTCACAGATCATGTCGACAACCACCGAGGTGGAGACGGCGGCGCTGAACGTGTGGAAGGCGGCGATGCAGGTGTAGCGGGCGCCGTGGTCCGCGCGGCGCAGTGGCCCCAGCGCCAGCTGACTGCGCACCGAGCCGTCGCCGGAGGCGCTCCAGCGGCCGCTGACCCGTGACCCTCCGCGCCACCAGGTCACGTTCGGCGGCGGGTAGCCTGCGGCGCGCGCCGTGCAGCATGGTCAGCACCGTCTCACGTAATCAGCAGTTATGTATGGGAGGCACATGTACTTGGCTGGACGCGCGGAAAAGCCCGATTTAACTGAGGCTTTTTTTGTTGTTGTTGAAACTCTGGATGGTGGAACTGCATATTCGCACTTCGTCGTTTTACTCAATGGCTTTACCCTTTTCTGGAGATTTAAGGTAGTGTTCCACATTTTTGTGGAATTTTCAACTGAAGTGGCCATCTAGAAGATCATTCGGTGCTGTTCACAGCTCTTCCTTTTTTCAGGCATAAAACCCTCATTGTTTAGCCATACGCCAGCGTAGATGTGCAGCCTTTTTCGTGTTAACTGTTTCAAGGTTAATCAGGCACCCATGACGCCACAATAACGGCGTTCAAATCCCGCTTTCCACAGGCCATGTGGCTTTCAAGGTCAAGAAAAACATAATTGCCGAGTCATTCACAGCTGGCGTTATTGAGCACGATTTCCAGGCATAACGATCGTTTATTTGCTCTCAACCAATGTTGTTCAGGGTGTGCAAGATTTTAACACAAATTGCGTTTTGTGCTACAAAACATTAGAAGCGATTCATTCTACCAAGTTATTACGGAAAAAAGATATGTAAACAAGTAGCTTAAGAATAGCGCTGTACCCAAGTAAGTAAATACAAATAAAAACATCCCAAACTCAAGGATAGATATTGGAGACCATCACGAGAAAGGGCCAAAACACGACTACATAGCGATACTTGGCTTAGCAAACACCCTCAGTCCGTGCTGCCATATCTCGGAGATTGAAAAACCACTAGTAAGTGCAATCTTGCAAACGTTTCATGACGCAATCAAACAATGACGCATTGAGGAGCACATTTGCTGAAGAGCGGAATTACGTTGTCTAAAACAGTCGTTTCCAAGTATACAAATAATTATTTGTATACAAAAAAGTATACAAATATAAAATATATAAAAGTATACAAATACTTATATGTGAGCTCATTTAATGCATGATGCCTACGTGTCTTCAAACGAGCGCCGCGACATTAGTGCCCTGGCAAAACTCCCACCGAGAGGAGTGCCACGGCAAAACTCCCACCGACAGGAGTGCCACGGCAAAACTCCCACCGGCAGGGGTGCTACGTCATCAGTTAAATGCGACATTATTTTTACAAGACCTTATGCAGACTTTACTTATACGTGACGATGTTTCTACGTCAAATACTTAACAGGACTTAAGTGTTACACGACAGAACTTATGCTGCAAATAGTTGTACACTTTATTACGTCTGCTTCAAAAATATGTATTCGGCTAATCAAGAGGCTTCCGTGCCACTGACATCATCAAGTATGGTGTACATGACGTCACGCAGGCTTTGTGTCCAGACTACCTCTTTTCCCACGCAGCTCGATGTTGTCACTTTTCGATAGTGTTAAACTATACGGATGAGGCCCCCCTGAGCGTGCCTAAAATCCGTCTGCTTGTCTTCCAGCCTTGTGTCGCGGTTTTGCTCTGTCAGTGAGATCAATGTGCGGGGCTTCGGGTCCTTGGCCCGCACATTCCAGTCTCTCTGTGGTGGCCTGAACTGTGGTGTGCCGCATCGCAACACAATCCATAAGATAACAGCAAGACACTAACAAGGAGCAATGGACACATTTCAACTACACATATCCCAACAACAATAGGAACACATGAGCATTCAACTCGCTGTGCCGAATGTTAAAAGTAAATGTCCGCACCATGACCACCATGACTACATAGCAGTGGCTTGGCTTGCTTGCCATTGAAGCTTGGCTTGGCTTGGCTTGCCTCCAGAGGCTGGCGCGCAGCCCGTAGCTCCTGGGCGGCAACTCGTAACTCAAGACCCAGCTCATGCGTTAGTCCACTGCGGGGCCATCTAATCCCCCAGCCCCGTTCGCATCGCTTCCGCTCCGCTTACGCCAAGGGCGCGTCCAGTCTTTGTGAGAGACGGAGCGATAGGCAATAAATAGGAATGGACAGGAATGCAAGAAGTTGTGCAGGAATAGGCGTCTGCGAAATTGGATTGACGATGGCGATTGTCCGCAGCCCATGGGGTTCGGTTAACGCTGCGGTTGGCGAAGTTCCGCCCCTACTGGCAATGCCTTCCTTCCGGATCGATAGCGGCTGAAACTGCGCCTGTTGGGCGGCACGGTGGCCGGGCAAGACTTTATGAGCGAGTACTTGATTACCGCCGACGCAATTAACGTGTGGCTTTGCGTGCAGCTCGACGAGGGCTTCCATGGCTTAACTGGAATAACGGGTCCTTGGGCAGGAACCGGCTGCGAGCCATGACCAACTCCAAGGACGAGACTTGCACACCGGGGCTTGTGATAGGCTCGCCTTGAGCCACGGCTACTCTACTGAGCGAGTGGCAACGCGGTGCTTCGGTGTAGGAACTCAGCGGGCACTGGCGGGTCGCATACGCGCTCTGAGGTTTGAGTGGCTGTAGCCTCATCTCACTCCACTCCACTCAATTTTACATAATCAGCCGATGACATCCTCGGAATTTCTTGTCATGTTTTGCGGCTTAGTTTACGACGTAAGTTTGGATATGCAGCAACCAATCAGCCTTCCTCACTAACTCAGCAAAAGGTCACTCGCGACGACATGTTTGATGGTGGCCTGATAGTCCTCTCCGGGGCTTTGTTGCCGTACCCCGCACGGGTGTCCATCCCCTGGCAATGTGAAGTCAGAGGGCGTGACCTGACCGTGCCCTGGAGCGGTGACCTCACGTCCAGGTGGCGGGGGTAGACAGCCTGAGACGGCCAGTTGGAGGCAGCAGTGGTTATAAGCGACCAGTATCTTGAAAATATAACACAGGTGTTCGACGTTCGTTGACCTCTCAAACCTAGATGCGTGAGTGCACAACATGTCGAAGGTTTGAATGGTCAGCAAATGTAAATGGGAAAAGCGCTTATTCACATGATAAGGATACTTCTACCGCATCCACGCACCAGATGACGCAAATCGCGTACGCTGGTAAGCAGATGGCAGCTCAGCATTTCCGCCTCATGATCAGACGTCCCCGGTCTCGCTGAGGCCTCAATCCCGTCACAAAAAGTCGAGATCAATACGTTACGTCAATAGCACTGAGCCCTCTGCTCCCCGTAGGATGACCGCCTACCCGTGTCCCAGACGAGATCAGCTGATAAGGCAGCCACTCGCTCGCCGGCATTCCCCGTCGCCGTGCCCATGACAACAGCGGTCTCACCGTTCAGAGCGGCGCACGTGACGTTGGCCGACTGGCCGACCTTGTAAGGCCCCAGCCGGCCGTCGTTGATGCGAGTACCGGCGGCGTCCAAAACAACCGGCTTCTGCGGAGGTACTGGGGGCAGGAACGACGCGACCGGTCAGGGGCTCATCAAAGGGCCACATCTTACATGTGGGGTTATACACTGGACAATCCAAGGAAGGAAGGGGAGTACAGGTAATCCACACGTCCCATGTAGGAGAGCCCAATCAATTGGCGAGGCAAGAGCTGCATACACAGAATTACAAAACGGTCACACATCATGAGCAGAAGAGCGGACACGAGCAGACGAGTAGAGACTGGCGGAGCTTACTGAAGCCACACCACATGTAGAGGAGCCCCGCCATATCGATGACGTCACACTGGAATGTGGTGGGGGTCATGAATGTAAAATGAAGCCAAGCCCAGTCTGGCCGCGGCACGTCCAGCTTAATCGAGTAGTAAAATTGCATGTCTGTATTTGTATGCCTTGGCTTTGGTGTTTAAAACCACTTTAGAAGAGTCCATCCATCCCAAACATTCACCCACCCGAAAGGCACGGATTGAGAGCAGCCTCCCAGCCGACAGAGCAGAGCATCAAATCTCGATTTCTGCTGCTTAGGAACAGTGGCATCTGCGAGCCTCCGCATTCTCCACCGCCTTCGATAAAGCCCTGCTTGCCATCTTCCCCTGATCTCTCAGGCGGCGCATGGGCGTGTGGCTCTTGCTGCTCTGAACCGCTCGTATCTCAGGCAATAAAACGGCCAATAATGCCGCCCCATTGGAACGACCCGACTTCAGCGCTATAGATGGAACAGGCTGCACACGCCCGACACAAGCTTTCGCTAATTTTCCGCCTCGACGTCCGGAGCCCGTCGCAGCATCCACACAACTGCAAACAGACAACCGCAAGTTCCCTGCACGGTAGCCGCCTGTTCAGCTAAAGATGTGGGATTTCAGTCCTAGAAATTCTGGCAAGGCTCTGACTTTCTTTTTAAATCGCGACTGTCAAATATTTGAAGGAAGCTGTCTTCATGAGTTCTGGAATACAATTTTTAACCGCCGGCCACGTGAGTGCGCCACATTTTTGCTACTGTCAGATGATCTATTGCCAAAGTCTGGTGCAAAAATCACCTCCATTGTAAGTTGGGTCACGGAGTCACAGATCATCAGCAAAAGCTCGTAGCCCTATTTGCGCCACCACCGACAACCATTCGGGGTTCTTCATTGTTTTCGACTGTTTCGATCTAGCTCTTCGACCGGCCTGACCGTGTGGAAGCCAGGGCTCGTCGTCCGATCAGGGGTCACGCCAGACCACCAGCAGAGGTCATGTCAAGTCAACGTGTGCGTGCCGAACCCGAATGAGTTGTGCAGGTGATATGCGATAAATAGGACGGTGAAGCTAACACGGTTTTGTAAACGATAAGCAACCAATGACGTGAATAACCAGGGATGAGATGAGTAACTAGAGAGGTGATGAGTAAAAAAAAGATGAAATGAGTAACCAGAGATGAAATGAGTAACCAGAAGTTATATGAGTATCCAGAGATGAGGTGAGTGACCGTTCTTCCAAACCAATTTTCCTAAATCCACATGCCATCATAACTCAATCAGTATAACTACGACTTTTATTATCTGAGTGCCAAACAACCCGAAGAAGTCGGTCGATTCGCAATATTTTGGAAGCATTTTGCGCGGCATGCGAACTCGTCCCGCATGTGGCGTACTAGCCAATTCCGCATGTTCTGGGAGCGTGGCCAGAGCCATCAACTTCTACTTACAATAATTTTATCAATAAATGGAAATGCATTTTTAACCCTCCATGCGTCGCAATTTTGATAAAGCCCGGGTGATATGTAGATATCACAAAGGTGATAGCATTTCGTTCAACCTTCGACATTGCGTGAGAAAATGTCAACACGTACCATCGGGAATGTGCGTAACACAATAACAAGCAAAAACATATTGAAAGCTAGCTTTTTTCATAAGTTACAAGTTATTGTCATAAGCAGCTACCGTAGTGTGAAAGTCATTGGGTTTCAGAAACCAGAACAAAATAATTTCAGGTTTTTAAAGATAGACTTAAATTTTCAGCATACCAAACCACTTCTTTCAAACCTCGTATGATACAAGAGAAAGAGGGAGGGGGGAGGGGGTGAAGGTCGGCCCCTCGTAAGGTTTTTTGGAGAATATTTCGCTGGCATGTTGTGCAATCGTGCCCAAAATTTTCATTTGCCCATTGAACATTCATTGCTCGTGTTTTTGACACCAAAAACAACTTGTCCCTAACCGTTTTGGTGTCGGAGCAGGCGTGGTATTGGATGAACACTGTACGGCGATCTAGGGCCGGCATGGGCGGCGGCTGGCAGGCAATGATGCCGCGGAGCGCACGCGGCCGGCCGACAATATTACATTAATGGTGTCATGTATTATAAATGTATGCTCAAAATACATAAACATGTGGATTATTGTGCTCAGAATTTAACATGAAATGCGCTTGTTTAAGTGCTGTGTCGGCACAAGTTATCGCCTCGTGGATATGATGTTATAAAGCTGAAAAAGGACAATTCTCTGGAAAATTCGCCCTTTTGGCCTGCAACAATCGGGACAATTATTAACCGGAGAACATAAATTTTATCCATATCGCGAAATATCGTTGAGACCAATCCACTGATGGCTTTCGTTAAGCTCTGTCATTAGTTAGCTGTGACATTTCAAACTAATTAAATCATCTGTCGTTATGTTGGAAAGGATAAGGAGGCGCATTAACTGCCCTTGTCAGGTTGCGTCATAAAACGCGGCAAATCAGGTCGAGGTTTAAAGTTTGGTGCATGCAAATTGGCGCAGATTGTTTCTAGATCCAGATGTGAGTTTGTTTAACCTCAAATTTTACCAGTCATAGCAATAATGAACTCAAGTGATACCTCACTCACACTTGATAAGCTTGCCACTCAAAACGAACCTATTTCCATGAATGTTGAACTTCCTAGTTAAAGCTGAAACGGATTTTATGACACGGATTTTTTTCACATATTTTTCCACTACCTTCCGTTATCAATTTCTTTTCTCGCCGGATTCCAGCTAGAAATATTACGTCACACCACGGCTGGTCACTAACAGGAAATGCAATATTGACCCACAATGCCGGGACGAGTGCGGATATCCTACGCGTACGGAGCCACGATGCCGGTGCTGGTGCAGGTATTGTGCCCATACGGAGCCACGACGCCGGTTATGGCACGGGTATTGTGCGCATATGGAGCCACAATGCCGGTACTGGTACGGGTATTGTGCGTGTACGGAGCCACGACGCCGGTTATGGCGCGACGCTCTACGGGCATCAGTCGAGATGCATGCCAACGAATCTAGGGGCGACGACAAAGTTGAGTGTCAGCTGGCATCGCACTTAAATTTAGCCTAACGTTTATTGGTGCTTTTTATCATCTTTCCATTTCATCTCGTCGACATTGCCAGCATCGGCTAAGTCCCAGCCTCGCCGCTGCTGATCCTGTACGGGTCACTGGTAGCGCGGTGTGAAAATCTCGCCTCTCGAACAGAAGCGCGAGAACGTCTTCCGTTGACCGGGCCGCAGCTGATCCGTGCGCGGACCCCCGGTCCGCCTGGGGAGGGACGAAGCCCCAGCCCGCCCGGGACGCGGATGGGCGCCGAACGAGGGCCCGCTGGGGGGGGGGGGGGGGGGCAGAAGCTATGATGGATGACTGGCGTTTGCGGACGCGCCATTAGACGAAGAAGACGGAGCAGCGACCGACGGAGAACCGGAAGGCGAGCGCGCTCTGTCCGTTCGCGGATTGCGACCATCTAGCTGTTTAATGCATGGAGATGGCGACCGGCAGATGGGGAATTTCTCTAAGGATTTGACACCGTTTCTGCAGCACGTCCGCAAATCCCGACGGCGTTTCATTAGCGCGTGACCATATTTTTCTCTGTTTCTTTGAAGATCTGCTGCAAAATATCAAAGTTTACAGGGCTTGTGGAAGTAATCCGCTTAAAAGAAACTCATTTGAATAAGCGGATGGTATCATGTTTTAACCAAAGGAAGCAAATTATTCCGGTGCGCGGCCGTAGCCCAGATCCTGCCAACGTTATTAAACTTCCTGAAGCAGGTCATCTAATCTTGTTTTGCCAGGAAATCCACGCACTCGTAGCATTATACATATTGAGATGAGTGCGGTTTGGACCCAGTATATTGCAGAAGTGGAAAAACACGAGTTTAGAGCTCTTCGCAAGCCTATATATTGGCTAGCATGCAATCATGCTCCCAATCAAAGTCCAACACGAGGAGTCCCATTACGAACAGACCCCCGAGGCTAGAAGCCCAAGCTGACTCGTTCTGTTACAACGGTGCTATGATAAACGCGTTTCACCGCTGGTATACCTGCCAGGAGTTTATGCGCAGTGAAAGTGCGTGGTGCAATTTCGTCATTTGTCATAAAAACTTGCTCGATGAATGTACCTCTCTTGGTGGATCGCATCCACCTAATATAACGCATGTGAAACCCTTTAATTTGTTCCCTAATAACTCAAGAACCATGAGTGATAAACCCAAAAAGCAAGCACATTCTGCATCAGCCCGGGGCGAGAAGAACTCGTGCAGCACTCTGATCAGGAGCTGCCCATCGGGCGTGGTGCGGCGCGAGCATGCGTGCCCCATAGACTTAGCGTTGGTCATGGTCGGTTTCGGGCACCGCGTGCTAATCGACTGCAAATCTCTCAGATGCGAGCAGACGGATACGGCGAGAACCAGAACATACCGACCATTAGGCCTCGCCAGCAGGCGTTAAATGATGGTGCCAAAAAGCGCTTTCCACACGGCTGTTTATCCGCGGCATTATATGATTACAGCGTATTAAATAGTAAATGACGAGCAGAGCATCAGAAGGCATCTTACCACCAATGTGTATGAGCTTTAACGATAGCAAAGCAGCAGGGCAGTTGACCGACCTGCTATATTACAGGCTGGGAACAGCCAGATCCAGAGCTAAAACGGCTAAATCGAGCGTCCCTCCCGAGAAAATACAGAATTTGTCGACGGCCTATCGGCCAAGGTCCTACCCATTAAGAAACGGTGCAGTGACCTGACCTGGTTCAGCGAGCATGTCATTGTTGTACTGAGCCGGAAAGAGTTCACTGCCGCTGATGAGGTCTACAAGCTTTTGCAGAAGCAGCGTGAAGAGGCAAGGACCCGTAAGTCGGTGAACAGTGTCCAAGACTCAGAGGTGGCTGTGGACTACCCATTGGTGCTTTTCGTGAGCCTGGAGCCATCGACACCGCCATCACACGGGCTGGTGCTCACGCAAGACGCACCCATCATACTCCTACGAAATCTGAACTCCCAAGCTCTGCGATAGCGACCATTATGACGGAGAGCTCCAAAGAAACGAACATCTCTAGCCCAAGATCTATTCTCAGCTTTTCTGACATGCCCGTCGAATTCAAACGTGCAGTTTTATGTGAAGCAGAGCTGCGCCGTGACTATGAAAAGGAGCCAGGGTTAGTCCCAGGAGGTGAAGGGGCTCAACCTGACTGAGCCGGTATTTTCCCTGTGTTGACGTTACGTCAGCTGCCCCATATGAAGCAGCCGGTTTTGTCGTCCTGTCGCAGAAGACTATGACAAGGATGCAGTGTTCAGGGAAGCTCTATCATCGCAAGTTTTGGGGATGCAGGAGGTCAGCTACTGCAGGATCGCTATGCACGCCGGTGCTCAGCCTGCACTTGCCCGTCGCCATACTGCGCCGCGCAAGGCATGGATTACTCAGCGTCCAATCCGGTCGTAGCCGGGAGTCCCCGGACTGGATAGCGGGACGTCGTGCTGTACCTCGTAGGGGAACCCGGCCTCACTCATTGCTCAGTAGGTTAATCGACGATTCAATAGAAGGGGTGACCTCATACGTATAAGATATCCTTGCGTAACTAGTCTGCGACTTGTGGGTAATTTCTGCGGATTGCACATCCTCATCTGTGCGCTATCTCAAATAGTTCATTTGTAGTATATTCTTAAAATTGACACTTTTACGCTCTTAGCACTCGTTAAGTGCAAAAAAATGCGGACCAGCACATTTTGATGGAAATCCACCGCTAACATCGTCCTAAATTGCATCGGTAATGTATGTGTGCGACATTCAATATTTGCACTGAGGTAGATGACTAAATGGGTAGTCAATGACAAGTGTTTAAGGGTTACGTACCGCGGTATGTTACGCAATGCATATTTATAACGAACAAGTAGATCAAATTATGAATACCATTCCACACTCATTTGGAACAACGGGGTAAATCTTCCCTCTTCACAGTTTTTTGAAGAAGGCTCGAGCGCGCCACACGTGCAGTATTTCTCAGAACGCCTCCCGACGACAGAGACAACAACGGACCTCATCTTCCACGCTCTGAACATAGCTTGCGGCCGCGGCACGAGCAGGGCCGTGCCGTCCCATTTTTCAAACGCCGGGCGGCAGACACTCGGCGTACCATACCACGCGGCGTGACGAATTTCAGCGAGGCTCGCGTGGCGCGGATAAACAGCTTCGTCCGCGGCGGGATCGCGTGATCCCACCAGAGCTCGCGCTTCGCCGATCTCAGATCCGCCATTACGGCACGTGCCGAATTTCACTCCGGCTGAGGGCGCGCAAGGCCCGCCGGAGCTGCGGGCGCGGGAGGCGCCGTCCCCGAACGACGTGCATTTCAACAAATCAGTCTTGACTCGGCGGACATTAGGGGCCAGAGCGATCAATGCTCCAGTCGGCGGCGGCTCTGAGCGGAGCTGAAGTCGGGCCGGGTGGCAGACGGACACCCACGCCTCAGCGGACAGCGCGCCTTTCGGCACAGCAACACCGACAAGGCCGTGCATCGTGATACCCGGCTGCATTTCTTCACGCCATAGCATTGTTCGTCATTTTCATCTATTATGAGACCAACTATTGACTAAAATGATTCGACCCGAGCGGTTTGATGCCCAGAAATGTATAGCCGCGGAAGGGAAGGCAAAACAATACGCCCAAAGGGGTTCATTCTGCCGTGCCTGCCATTGGAAGTTCGCGGCTGCTGCTCAGAGCTCGTCGGCGTCACTCACAGCTCCCATCCAGCAAGCTTGCAATTCTCCCTAATGGCAGGGTGATAAGTGTGCTGCCAAGACGTTCATTGCGCGCCAGTTTCAACACCATTGATCGGCACGACGGCGCCGAAGTTCGCTCGCCATACTATACTCTTCGATGTTTGTCCTGTCCTCGGGTGGCCTGTCTGATGAACGACGCCTGTCCTGCCTTTCGGTGCTGGCCCTGTTCTTGGACGCGTGACGTGGCCTTGGACACCTGCCCCGCCCCTTCACGGCTGACCTGCGTTTTGACACTTCCTGCTCTCCGACGCTTCCCCTGCCTCCAGACACACAAGTCCTCGGATAAGCGCTCTGACACCTCCTGCTCTCCGACGCTTCCCCTGCCTCCAGAAACACAAGTCCTCGGATGACGCTCCTGCTCTCTGACGCCTGCCTACGCCTCCCCCGCGCCCGACCCGTTCTCTGAGCGTGACCTGCGCTCTGACGCCTGAACCCCCGTCCCCTCCGACCCACCTATGACGGTGAGGTTGACCCGAGAGTTCTGCGTTGGCGAGGCGAGATAGTCGACGCGGCAGCGGTAAACGCCGCTGTCGCTGCGGTTGACAGCCACGATTCGCAGGCTGGCCGGCAGGCTGTGCGCCTGGAAGCGCAGGCGCCCGGTGTCCAGCTGGTCACTGACCCAGTGCGAGCCGGACGCCCCGCTCCGACCACGGGCGTCGTACCTGAGAGGGGCGACAGCAGTCAGTTGAGCTGGGTGCGGCTGTGAGGGTATCTCTTGATCGTGTGTTCTTGGGTTTCTTGATTCAGACAATGCTGTCATTGATATTCTAGTTTTGGGCGTTGTGAGACCAGAGTTGTGCTGACAACAATGGACTTTCAGCACACCAGAAAGCGTCCCGTTCGTTACGTCAGATCACCCGGTATGCTCTTGGGCTTAATTCTGACAAGAAGTTAGCTGTAGCCTGAGGTAAGCTGTCAATGAGTTTTCAGCGGGGTCTTGCGACGGTGCTGGCCTGTACAACGCATCAAACATAAATCATAACAACTATGGGCTAATTGTTAATCGAGCAGACAGCTTCCAAGTATCTACGAGTTGTGAGGTTATTCAAGAATTTACTTATGCCTTGATATCCATTCATTGCGGATCGAGTTTGAGTGCATTTATCACGTTCAGACACTTACGAGATGTTTGCAAAGCTTATGGTTGTCGTACAGCGTTAAGAATACACTCATTGAGAGAAGGCAGTAATTCCAACTCTTATTCATTAGGACGAGACATTGTTTCTGTCACTCAAGCTGCTCAGACCTTGAAATACTGTGCCCCAGCTTTTAGCCAAATGGGACCGAGAATTTTGCAATATGCCACTCAAGGACCACGTGATACGGACGTCTGTGGTATTGAAACTTTCACTTGCTGGGGGATACGATGCCTTCTTTAGGGCTTCCCATCACGACGGGGTTTTCAATACGAAACCCACGCGGTGATGAAGCTCGAAATGTCTGCCTCCGTCCCTTGGTGCGAGGAGTGACCGGCGTGTTCATCACTTCATAATCAGAACGGCGTTAGCCGTTACATAGTATAAGCCTCAAAATGACTCGATTGCACTGGCATCGTCTTTTCCTTCGGAGCTTTGTGGTATGATCGTATATCCGCTGCAACGATGACGCAAACTTCCATGATATTATTTGGATTTGAGGGCGCAGCAGCAACTGTGGCGTTCTCTTGACTGTTTTGATGAGACACTTGTTATAAAGAACTGGCTCCTTCTGCTATCGCAAGATGCTGGCAGGATGGCAAAAGTGTCTTTTTATCGCCGAACGAATTCCTACCGAGAAAATTGTCGCCAGCAGCTTAACGCAATGCCGAGTGACATAAAACGACAACGAATTCATCACGCTTGTTTGCCTTCAAGCTTTGCACAAATTCATAATTTTTTGTCAACTTTATCCACCAAGGTAGGACCTTTTATCACCCCTGGATGCTAGCTGAAATATTCATCAAGTGGCTTCCTCACGTCTTCATTACCGGTCGATGAAGCCACCCACGTGGTCCCATCGGAGCTAAATGTGGTGGAATTCCAGCAGTCTTTTAAGATTGAACAGTGAAACGCTGCGCGGAAATACGTTAGTTAAATATATTTTCGCTATTCCACCACACCCACCTCCTCATTTTCCAGTCAGCTTAGTCAGCGGCAACAACCATATCCGTCACCACAATGTGAAGAGCCTTCCTATCCTGAACGGTCGCGTGAAGGGCCACAGTGGGCAGTGAACTAGTTTAACAGTGCATCCCAGCGACGCTGTGACATTTCACGCCCACTCCACCACACCACGCACCGGCCACCGACTGAGACCTCTGACCTCTTGACCCCCGGGTCGGCTCCCCGAGGCGAGTGGCACCGGCCAGCCTCACGCCCGCCTGTACCCGGTCTGGATGGCGCAGGGGCGGTAAATTTCCGGGCGGGCTCGCGTGACGCCGGACCGGAAGTGCGGCTTCCGGCGCCGCCCGCCCGCGGTGACTTCAAAGTGCCCGCGGCGCCATGGCAGTCTGGCCCGCTCCAGACCGCGGCCAGCCATGGCGGGATGGGGCTGCGACGGGCGCTCTGGCAAGCTGTCAGGCGGTGGCCTCAGAGATGCGTTCAGCAAAGCGTGCTGCGTAAGAGACGCACAGCTAGACGCCCTGTCTGGTACCTACAAACAATGTTCGCAAATTTACATCGGGTGTAACACGCCTAGTTGTCTTAGTTGATAAGGGTAGCACCGAGAACAATACCAGAAGTTTTTTTGATGCGCTGTTCATGTCATCTGACGCGTCATTGGATTGCTGTAAAGTTAAAATTGTTCGTTCATGGACATGTTGACTGCTAAATTCACGCTCAACTGTGCTCCATGATCTCAAGTCGGGAAATTATGGATATATTGTTCACAAACTTGAACTGCAGCCCAAACTGTTCTCAACAATCTTCACTGTAAGATCTGCAACATGTCTGGCTAAGGAATCCAGCAAGCTTTCCAAGCCATGGTGTCTGGGAATAAGACAAAGGGAGCTTCATATTCTAAGATGTTACCAAATTTAACACAAGCCTGCGGCGTGCACTTGGTAATTTGTAATAGATGGAGTCTTGGTCCCTTTGAGCACCTTTTCCGATGCAAAGAAGGCTAATTTTATTTGTAAAGCAAGCAAAACCAATCCACGGCCGCAAAGAACCTTTGATGGGAACCAATGTGCAGGCCCGTGCGCGTGGTAACGGAGCTGACTCACGTATAAATGGTGCCCTCGGTGCCGTAGTACCAGAGCACGAGCCGCAGCGAGTCACCGTTTCCTGGCGTCGTGACGTCACATGGCAGGTCAGCAGGCTGCCCCTCCACCGCCGTCACCTGTACCAGCCGGTCTGCAATGCGATCCGCCGGTCTAGTACAAGGCTCCACTGTCCCGAATGGAACGCCGCTGCCTAGAGCGGAGCATGGCGATCATGCCGAACGGGCTCATCTGGAGTGAAGCACCATGATCGGAAGCGGGGTAACCCAATACGCAGCGCATTATTGCAGCAGGACAATCAATCTGGAATGAAGCACGCTGGTCTAGAAATGAACGAGCCGACCCGCAAAAAAGGCACCGGAATAGAGGGCGTCAGTGTAGAAGGGTTGGATGGTCTCGAAGATTTAGAACAATGCGCCGTTCCAAAACAAAACTCGAATTCTAGCCCGCAGACCGGAGTGACACAGTGCGTCTAAACAAATAAGTACAAAATGCTAGCAAAATGCGGCATGCAAAAAATCATTTTCCATTGCATTTTGCATTGTATTGCACTCACAAATCTATCCAAAGTAAAACGCAGCGATCGATAAAATACGCCTAATTGGACTGGAGCAAATGCTGGCTGCCGTGCGATGCTGACTGGAGCACATGTGTTCGTCACATCACATGAGGTGCCGTTTTTAGAGAGGAGGCATCTGAGCCAACAGCACGGGTAACCCGATCGTGCCTCGAGGCGAATGTTGCCTAGAAAACTGATAAAAAAGCCGGAGAGGAGGCTTATGGCCGATGGATTACCTGTTTTCTTCCTCCCATAGAGACCTGCGAAAGAGCAAAGTAAGTGTCAGAGCCCGGCCATGTGGTCTTGCCGCATCACAGTGGTGCAACGACGCTGTGCGCCTTGTTTCTGTAACGCAAAAGTACGCATTCACCGATCTATAACGCGCGTTCTAGCAGCTTGTCCCAGATGTGCCAGTAGAGTCCCGTCTAGCGCGGTCCCGTAGCTCTTGTCCACTACTAATCACACTGTCAGTAGGGTCCCGGTCGGAGCCGCGAGCGTCGTCCCGTATCTCTTGTCCACTACTAATCACCCGGCCAGTAGGGTCCCGGTCGGAGACGTGAGCGCGGGCCCGTAGCTCTTGTCCACTACTAATCACCCTGCAGAGGAGATGTTCACGTCAATCATGTCACGTGCCTCGCCAGGATTAATGGCCGCTAGAAAAACAGCTCAGCCGTGTGCAGAACGGTGACAACCAATCATGCGCACCGCCCGCAGGGCCCTCCCTCAACTAATGACGCTTGCGTCTCGAGGCAGGCACCCGTGATTATCAGCGCGTGGTCGGGGAACTGGGTGAGAGACGCTGTGGGGAGAACATTTCTCTCGGGAGCGTGGCCACGGGAATGGGAATAGTGGGCAGGGGTGTCAAGGCCGTGGAGGCATTTTCTGTGGGCGCAGGGGCGTGGAAGCGTTCCATAAGGGGAGGGGCCACTCTCCCGGTGTTAAGCCAGAAGAAGTGGAGCACGAGGTGCAAAGGTGGACAATATCGCACAATCTCGGCCACGGCGTGACTGTTGCACCTCCTGATCGTGTTCCTGCCCTGCCGTGCTCCTGCCCTGCCGTGCTCCTGACCTGCCATTCTCCTGACCTGCCGTGCTCCTGACCTGCCGTGCTCCTGCCCTGCCATGCTCCTGACCTGCCGTGCTCCTGCCCTGCCGTGCTCCTGACCTGCCGTGCTCCTGACCTGCCGTTCTCCTGCCCTGCCGTACTCCTGCCCTGCCGTGCTCCTGCCCTGCCGTACTCCTGCCCTGCCGTGCTCCTGCCCTGCCGTACTCCTGACCTGCCGTGCTCCTGCCCTGCCGTACTCCTGACCTGCCGTGCTCCTGCCCTGCCGTACTCCTGACCTGCCGTGCTCCTGCCCTGCCGTGCTCCTGACCTGCTGCAATCTGAGCGGGATGGCATGACGAAGCTTGGCGTTTAACGGAGCTCGAGTCAGCGTTGCATCGGCTGAACTTGTTGGAGTCCGCTGTGTCGCGACCATGTCTCAGAAGAACAAAGCCTCATGCTCGCGGACAACATTACCTCTGGCCTTTGTTTCGCAAAAGCAATTATGCAAATCGACTCTTCCGGCCTCGCAAAAGAAGCAGAGGGTCTCCTTTCGTAAGAATCCGATGGTTGCCGTCATACAGGCAGGCACCATATCCTGAGTGCCAAGCTCTGCCTTGAGACGGCGCCCAGGATCCAGCCCTTGCGTTACTGCGCATGCCCTGAGGCAGTGTTGTCTCGGGCCGATTCTATCGCAGGCCGAGGTAGCGTGTTCACGTGTTCTCGTGGCGCGTCACACAGGCCCTTAACTGGCGGCCTGAGGACTCTCCTGGTCACCTCTGAGGTCGCCGTACACGCCAGTGCTGCAGCAGCCGAGGCGTCGCTTACCGCGGCTGCACGCCGTCAGCGAGCTTCCCCACAACAGGCACACTGCCGTGCACAGCTGCGCCGCGTGGATGCGTCGGAGCAGTCCCGTGTTGGAATGGTGACGCCAGCTTTTCGAACATTTATGACGTTCATACGCCCAAGTATTGGAGAGGCCACAATTTTGAGAAGTGTTAACTGCGATGATTAATTGCATGGTACTCCGGTATGTCTTCAGCGACATGGCTTTAAACTCGGGAGGTTTTGTACTTTCTGATTCCTCTATTCCTCATTATTTCTCTGTTCTCTGCATTCCTTCTTTTTTATTGCATCACTAAATCAGTATTTTCCTCCCCGTCCCTTTTTCCTACTCTCCATGACTTGCTTAATACATCACTCACTTATGCTCACCTTCCTTCCTTCTCCCTTGCTTCTCCTGTCTCGCTCTCCCTTTCCCTTCTCATTTAGCTGCCTCTTCCACTCTCTATCCCTCCCTCTCTCCCTCTCCCCTCTCGTCTTTCTCTCTCTCCTCTCTCTCTCTCTCTCTCCTCTCTCTCTCTCTCTCTCTCTCTCTCTCGCTCTCTCTCTCTCTCTCTCTCTCTATCTCTCTCTCTCTCTCTCCTCTCTCTCTCTCTCTCTTCTCTCTCTCTCTCTCTCTCTCTCCTCTCTCCTCTCTTCCTCTCCTCTCCTCTCTCTCCACTCAACTTCCACTCCACTCCACTCCACTCCAATCCTCTCATATCCTCCTCTCCTCTACTCCCTTCTCCTATCCTCCTCTCCTCTCCTCTTCTCTCCTCTCCTCTCCCCTCCCTATCCCTCTCTTTCTATCATTTTCCCTCTAGCTTTTCCTCTCCACCCATAACCCTCTCAAGGCAGTAAATACCAGTCGAAGGCATTCCAAGACGAGAGTGGAGCTTTCGAAGCCGATGGAGCGGCATTCGAAAACTGTGTGCGGCGTCTCCGCTCGTGTGACAGATGCGCGCCTGGTGCTGGGCCTTGTGTGGCAGATGCTGGCTCACCACCGTCTCTTGTGTGACAGATTTGTGCCTTCCAGCGGTTCGATAAGCGCCTGCATGCGATTTCACCCATAGTCCAATTTCTGCGCCAGCGGACCTCAATGATGCGAGACGAGAGCGAGCGCAGGTGTAGCCATGCGAACGAGACCAGTTTCAGCGGGCCGCAAAGCTCAGCCGGTGCACGGAGCAGATATGCGCCGACTTAAACGCATCTCTAACCGAAAACTGCATTCGTTGCGTGGAACGAGGTGTTGCTTTTCCATGTGACAGTGCAAACAATTGAACACTGCTAAGAGCTCAATGAAATAAATAATACAATATAAAAATAAATAAAAAGAAAACAAAAACAACTCAAAGAGCTCAAAAGCAAGAACTCAAAATAAGAACAACAACTCAATAAGAACTCAATCAAACGGCTAGATATGTTCTTGTATTTTTGCACAAAGGTGCCATTGTTTGCATAATGTTGCAGTGGCTTGCATCATCATACACGTGATAAAAATATGAGGAGAGTTGGCACGTTCTTGTGGTTAGCACGTTTGAACGGAGGGTTTTGTGCCGATGAATATGTAGCACAATGCCTTGATAATTACAAAAAGTTAAAATCAAGAAGAAATACTAAGAGCAGCACTAACATATAATGAATGTCGCCGGAACAAATCATGTGCTTCTATGCAGACCGGAATGCAATGATGACGGTAACTTCTTACGGTTGAAGATCCTTTGAACACAACTAAGTTCCTCAAGAGTTTGGGATGCCTTTGCGCACCTCGAGCCGTTTTATTAGCATAGTTCAAGGGAGAAGCATAGATCAGAAGGCGCCAGCATTTTCCAACAGTTTTCGCCTCTCGCACCTGTTCGACATTAACATTTTTCTGAGTTACGACTATGATATTAGCGAGCGACCGTGGGCCGGCATGATATATGATCACGGACGCCGCCTGCTCCTATGGGAGAGGGAATTTATTAGCACCTGTTTATTTGCGTCGACCAGCCCCACGTTTCGCAGGGGAGCGCGGAGATGCCTATGATATATGAGCGAAATTGTTCCGGCCCCCGGGGAACAGCGGCGATGTTTCTCCGGAAGAACGGTGTTTGTGCGTACGGCCGCAGATGAGGTTGTCTACTGGTGAATGGGCCCCTAATAGAACTAAATCAGCGTTGCAGCGTTACCTGTCTACTGAACTTAGCCGGAGCCCGGCAGTAAACCTTGTCTGGCCTAGACTGTATTGCAAATGAATACACACCACAGCGTGCGTTAATTAACAGAACAAGTGCGAGCGTTGAGGACAACGGCTCATTTCGTTGATAGGATTGAGTTCGGAAGATTGCACAGTTAGTAGGTGTAATTGCGGTTCATACAGATATCAGGTTCTAGTTACTCAAGTCAAAAAGTAATGATATTTACAAATTGGTGGGAAACATTTGTTATTAGGTTATTTGCAAGGGTGGCGCCCACAGAGCGCTGTAATCATTAGCAGGTAAAAGAAGTGTTTCGATGGCGGATTATGCTGCTATGGCGATTAGTGGGAGTTATTTTACGCAAGTTCACTTCCTGAAATAACACGCAAGCCACAAATATCACGAAACACGTAAAAATAAATAATAACGTGTCCGCACCAGACTCGACTGAACCAAGAGCCAGTGCTCATGCTGTGATCCTTGCGAGGGGTTAACTCAGCTATCCAGTGATTCATCCCTTGTTTGATGTTAAACGTGCTTTCTTATCGCCCTCGTTTCTCAATTTTTAGTGAATGTATGCATATCTCATGAACATATTATGCAATCCAGACCGTTACCGCAAATTCCTTGCGCTGGTTTTCTTCCCAATTCTGTAAAATGATCCGTCCTATCCCCTAACGCACTGAAACACAATGCGATCACATGTAAAACCTACAGTTGAGCAGACAGTGGCGTCAGCGTGTCATGCTCCTCTCAAAGGTGAGGATGGACATCCAAGGAGCACGCGGAGCCCGGTACTGTAAGCCGGGCCGCTGGGGCCTTAACAAAACCTACGAACAGCTCTTCAGACCCTCCAATCGCGCACTTGGTGATCAGAGCTGTGGGCCTCTCGAAACCATAGAGGAAGGCACGGTCCTATGCTAGGGGCTTCCTGACGACATTCTGCGAGCTTGGCAGCTGCATCACGGAGAAATCTGGGAGGATATGGATCGATGGAACATGGTCACGGGGTTCATCTAGCCCAAGGCCCTAAAACAGAAGGTATAACCGTCCGGCCAAATTCCGCTGCTTCGATTGATGCCGTCACAAGTGTAATCGGCACGCAGATGGTCAACGGCGGATACATACCTACCGCAGTTTGTTTGGCTTTTTGAAACTGTTCTAAGGCTGGGAGCCGTTAAATACATTCGGTTGGATCATAACACGACTACTTGTTC